ATTATGGCATGTTTTAAAATTTCTGAGCTGAAATCTAATTTTTATTGCCAGTCACTGCCCTGCAGGTTTTTCAAGGTACCAAGTTTTAGGGTAGTATGGTTTTAGGGATTTTACGTATTTAGTTTTCTTTGTATTTGGTAAAATAACACTCATTTGCATTCCATTTACTTTCAAAAGAAAAAAATATTTCAGTGCTGATAAGGCATACGTTTGTTCAGTTAGATCTTGATGATCAGGTTTAGTTATATGTAGTCTCTGATAATCCCAATTAAAAAATGTCATGCTTGTAAGAACATTATATTAACTTTATTAGTATTCTGTTTATGCAAGATCACAGATTGGAAAAGGCTCATAAAAGCTGTCTTTTGTCATTATAAAACTCTAAAGTCAAATGAGCTTGACAGTGGCTCCACAGCTAAAAAAAGTGCTTTGAGCCCTTTTGAGTTCAAGCGCCGGTTGAGTTTGAAGACTCGCATGTTGTGGGTATGATTCTGGACCATTCCTTTTGTCCAGAACTCCCGGACTTTCATGTCTTCTTGCGAAAATCTGACCCATTTAACTTCCTTCACACATGCAGGCCTGCTGTGACATCATAGAATGGACACTCCTCCAGTCAGTGCTGAACCGCTTGTGTGCTGATTGGCTGGATGGCAGAAGGAGACTGCATCTCTTACTCCTTGTGTGGGTACAGGGGTTGTTGCCAGGAGCCAAGAGTGTTTCCAGATTGAGTGACAGTTGTAGTTCTATAATATTAGAAATTAAAAAGGGCATCTTTGGTACTGGCATGCCTTTTATTTGTTTTTGTGTACTAAATATTAAAAAAGGGAGGTACTCCTACTTGTCACAATAGGACGAGTCCATAGTGAATTGTTGAATTATCTCTTTGGGCAGCAGAAATGCTTGAACTGGAAGCAGTGTGTATTTCAAATAATTCTGAAACACCGTACCAGAATGGTAGATTGTGACGGTGATGGTGGGGGATTAAAATGTGCACCATTTCTCCCAGTTTTCAGTGGTGTTGGTGGGGCATCTTCTGCCTCATTCCTGTGGCCCCACTGGTGGGGAAAAATGTTCCACGACTGAGTCTGAAATCTCTAAATAACAGAGTCTTGTTTACTACACAGAAATCCAATTAATTCCTTTGATTGTTACACATGTGATGATTTATGTGCAGTTATTTTTTTAAATTACTGTAAAAAAAACAAATAATTCCTCTTGCTCTTTGTGCTTTCAGGCTGGAACTGCGGGAGTGAGAATCTATTTATTTACATGCCATATCCTAGTAATCATTGAATTATCTGAGCCTGATTATCTCTGTAATAGCATTGATATTATTAGCTACATATACATACTCTATAAAAGAAAGAGAGAAAAAAATCTTGGATTAGTTCAAGACAGTGCTTCAGTTTTTCAATCACTGGGATGTGTGGGTGCTCTTCATTTTTTTTTAGTTCTTAAGTTTTGAACCAATGTCTTTTTGATTACCATAATCTATCCTTGTCCTCTGTTGATTTTGCTTTATGTCACAAAGCTTAGTTTCATGACTTATCAGCATTAATGATTAAAGACTTACAGTATCCAGTTGTCCTGAGTCACGCAGTAGCTATCCCTTCTGAAGAGAATAGGCTTGACAATAGGCAACTGAAGACTGACATTTGTCATGATAGCTGAGTCATCACAGTACAGAACAAAAAAAAACAGCTGGACAGCAGAGATCTGAAATGTTGACAGAATTAGAGTGTTAAACAGTATTTCTGACTTTATCATGTTTAGCGATTAGTAAATCTTCAGTACCCCAGATGTCTTAGGGAAGACAAACTCGAACTGTTCCAGATACCTGATCACACTTCTTAGACTCTGGAGTGGCAACATTACAGATCAGTATATTACAGATGGCAATAAACCTTCCTGTTCAGACACCCTTGAAGAACTATTGGAGAATCTCTCAGCCTCTGAAAAGTGTTGTTTTATGTAGGTACCAGAAATGCCACGTGCCTCAGGACGCTTTACTGCCCTCCAGTGAAGACAGGCTCTGTGAAAGAGGGACAAATCCAGTGGGGGGCATTCAGACTACAGCACCATCACCCTTGTGTTTCAGCACGGTGTTGGTGGCTTACAGGTACCTGTCAGATAGGACTTTTTTACCTGTGTGAGCTGTTCACAGGAGGCCTGAGCACTGGTCTCATCCATTCAAATCCTCTTCATACAGTTTACAACAAAAAGACTTGTGGCAACTGACTAACCAGTGTGCAAATGGAAAAGGAGAATGCACAGGTGCTGTTGCAGAGGAAGTAATGGCAGTCTGAGGTGATAAGGGCCAATTCCAAACTGGGAGGATTAAACATAAATTGTATGAAGCTTAGAAAAAATGTAGCTACCAAGGAAATTTCCAGTAAAACAAGGTAATAAAGTGTGTCTTGGGCTTCTCTCCTTTTTCTTTTGAACAGGTGATGAACCGATCAGGAGAATTCATCTCAGCGCCTCACATTCCAGACACTGTTCTTGTTCACATTGCAGAGCTGATGCAGCGATGGACTAATGATCTCCTTGTGTCTGCGGTAAGGTGCAATATCTCTGTGTTGACCACTATACAAGATTTGTACTAGTCCTAATCTGAAACGTCCAGCGCAAGAGAGATTCATGCTTTTGTGTGCTCAGTATTGTAGACTGGAAGTCCGTGAAGTTGTTCAAATTCAAATGTTATTGGTTCTACTACTCTTTCTTTTTTCCAGTTTTATGCGACAAGTATATCTGACTTTTAATAAACTTCAAATATTCAAAACTGATCATTAATATTAGCTTTAAATTCATTTAAATGCACCTTGTGAGTTTATACTTTACAAAAGAGGTGCCTTTGGTGTTAATGTAAGCAACGGCTTACAAAGGCTTAAATATATATCTTAGTATCTGGATAAAATGAAATAAATAAAACAGGATTCTTCCTTCAGGTGCAAGGAAATTCCTCCCAGCTTTCTCTCTTTCAGGGTCAGTGTTAAACCACTTTTTTCCCCATTTACATTGATCTATATCCAGTGCTATCTTTAAAACAGTTTGTATGATTAGGTCTTTGCCATTTAAATTTACCCACATAAAAGTTACATTTAGGTTTTTTTGTTAGTTAGAGGCACAGTATTACTGCCCCCTGCTGATGACATGAACACCAGATAGTCTATAGCCTTCTTCCTCCACCCTAATGACAATGCAGTCATTTCTCCCTGTGATGGATCCAGCCACTACCCCCAGTCAGTGCACTGGAGTATTCTCAGGAGCGTTTTTATGCTTCATATAGAAAGCAGTAGGAGAAAGAGCCATGACGGACCCTGCCTAGTGGTTTAAGTTTCCATGTTAAAAATACCCCCCTTAGACCTCTTCTGTATTGGATTGTTAAGGACCAAATGTATAAAATGTTGTCAAAACTGTCTGTTGGACACTACTCTATCTTATAAGAAAGCCATCTTGAAACCTCTGCAAATCCATCTGATTTATAGCCTGTTTTAAAGATTTAAAATGAGAAAATGTTTTTGTCAAATGTTTCAATCTGTAGGTATTTTTACATTTATTATATGGACAAGATTTGTTTGCAAATAGTTAATATGACACAAAAAGCAATAGCTTTGAAACAGCTTTATCTTTTCATTTAATAAAACAATGGACCACTTTGTACCAAACACAATAAGCATACATATGGATGGGGAATAAAAGCCGATCTGCAACGTTTCTTTTTAATAACTTCAGGGATACAAACTCTTGAAATTTCTGTACACAGATCATGGAATTAAAAAAAAAATGAAGCAAAACATTTATCTATTCTTTCATTTCTTACACAATGAACTGTGTTAAAGATCATTGTGAATTATTTTTTCATTTAAAAAGGTACACATTGAAATGATTTACATCTGTTTGATGGCCACTTTTAAAATAATCCTTTCTCCAGACTAGTTTACCATTCTATAAGAAGAAAACATACAGAAATGCAGAAGGAGAGAATACAGTGTCTGGCCCATTCCAGAGAAATACCCATAATTGCTCATCTCAGTTAATGTTTCATTGGTCCAGTAAAATTTAGGTGAATTGTAGACCACATAGAAAATCCCCTAGGTGTTTTGATACATAAATTGATTAAGACAGTGCCATGTTAAATCATGTATAGTACAAACCTTCCCAAATATAAATTAAGCATACCCAATATAAATATTTGGAAACAAAATTAAAAAGCCCTGGATTGAAAATTGTCCTGGATAATAAACACTTGCTGCATTTTGGTCCTTAACTTGCTCCCCTTTCCTAGACTTACATGATGCAGAGGACTTGTTCTCGCCGTCCTGCATGCACATCTTCAAAAAAATCCATCCCCTTTCTAAGCTAGAGCCTATCCCATCATACAACGGGCAAAAGGCAGGATACAGCCCTGGACGGCACGCCAGTCCACCACAGGGCGCACACACAGACACCATGCTGTCACACCAGGGCCAGTTTTCTGGGAAGCTTATTAAGTTAACAATAGATCTGGGAGGAAACCCATGCAAACGCAGAGAGAACATACAGACTCCACTCGGATAGCACCCCAGATCTGGAACTGAACCCAGGGCTCCAGCACTGTGAAGGAGCTACCCACTGCAGGAGCATGCCACTCTGAAAACTGAGAGGCAGAAATTAATCTCTCCAAGTTTTCAGCGTTTAAATACAAACGTGCAATAAAACTTCTTAGTAACTTATTATTGACATTTTACATTTTATTCTTATTCATACAGGATGAAATAAAATTAAAAGACTTGTAGGAAGGGTACCCCAACTCAAAAAGAAGCAGCTGAACATTGTGTATTGAATTGCACTCGTATCTTTTCACTGTTTGACCTTAAATGTATTATTGAAGTAGAACCCAAACCAAAATGATTAGTTTTTAAGTAAAACATAAATGTTTTAAATTTATATGAATAAAAAGTTTTGGGGCCATTCAAATATAGACTGAAGAAACAGTGCATTACATTGTTTTATTATTTTCAAATAACTCAAAAGATGGTCATTAACAAATGCATTATGTATATACAAAAAGGAAATCCCACACTAATTAAAATGAAAGCTATTTAAATTAAAAGACTATATAATGGCATATGAACTGTAAATAGTCTTACTGTACACCTAATCATCATATGAACACCACGTGTTTGTATCCACAAAACAGTAATCAAGTGTTTTTGCCACCAAGTTGGTTTCTGAATGACTTATTTTGTAGCACAGAAAGCTCTGTACATTCAGACTTTTTTTCATGCAAGTATAATTTGAACCCCAAATCACTTAGCACATTATATATCCTGAGACCACATTCTGCTAAATAACGGGACTTGATAAATATGAGTCAAGGAAAATAAGACATGCATTGCAAAGTTACTGATAGAAACAAATGTCTAATAATAGTTTTTAGTTACAAATTATTTTTGTGAGTGGGGAGTGTTTTCATGTTTAGCATTGACCACCATTAATAATATGGTATATGATCATGTCTCCCTTAGTTTAATAAAAAAACAGTTGGAAAATGTGACAGTCTTAACAAGTTTTTGTTTAATATTAGAATTTATGACCTTTTACCAAAAGGTATAGGTTCAAATTACCTTACCATAAAAAAAACATATATTGCACTTTCTGTAGCACAAAATATAGCAAGGAACCAATTTTTATACATCAAGGATTAATCCTGCAATTTTCAGAGTACACAAATTACCTTGGCTTATAAACCACACATATTGCACTTTATGAAGCACAAAATAGATTGTAAGGAACCTTCTTTATTCATCTTACTCATAGGATTAATTGTAAAATATTATTCAGCCTGGATAAATAATAAAACATACCGTTGTAGGAAAAAAAACAAGATTGAAACCTTTAAGACCAAAGACAGCAATTAAGAATCGGACTGATCCTCATGTTGCAATTGTTAGGTGATCTTGGACATCTTTCTTTGCAAGAGCAACAGATCCGTCTCCAAAGTTCTGGTTTTAAATAATTTACCATCTTTACAGTTCATACCCTGACAATGAAATTAAACGGTAACAGGGGAAACAGAATTATGCAAGGATTTCTTTTCCAAATCATTTGCAGGTCGTCGTGTGTATGTGTACGTCTACGCTGCTCACGGGCTGCGTGTATACACGGCCACATACATACAGTACGTACTGTACCCAAAAGGCACAACGATTAGGGGTGAGACTGTATCTCCTCCTTCTGTCCCGGAGGTAGAGGCTCATTATTTCCTGCCGGTGGAGCTGGGGGTGCATTCCCACCTTCTGAACAACAAAGAAGGTTAAACAGTCATTTAGAAGCAAATGTGTGTCTGCAACTGTTCAGAACTGTTCTGAGGTTTTCTAGCATTAAAAGGGTATGAACTGTTATGTACTCAACAAAAGCACAGTTAAAAAAAACTCTATATTGTAAGGCAACATTGTTATAAATGTCTAAAGACTTATTTCATGGTTTTCTTATTAAGAAATTTACTAAATGGGAAGTTCTACTCACCATTATCCTCTGGGGGAGCCTGATCTTTTTGACTTTTTAACTTCTCCATGTGTTGTACAGCCTGGGAGAGACAGTAAGAAAAGATTATTGCAGCATTTGAAAGTGATTGCAAGGTGTAATGTTTATTGCTGATACCTTAACCTCATGACAAACCCCTAGGAGGAAAATGCTTTTTAAATTTTAAGTGGTACTTTTTAACTTTTTTTCTCCTTCTGCAGACTCTGTCTTGATGCATGTCAGAAAGGTAAATGCAATTGTTCCTTTGTACTTTCATCTTCTTCACTGTCACAAGCACCATAGGCACGGTGACCCCATTTTCATTCTTAACAGTAGGCAGGAAGTAATACTGGACTCGTAAAGTTTACACTGATTGTTGACATAAAGCGCAAAACTGTAGCTAATGAGAATCGTTGCCATTGAAAACACAAATCGGGTCAGGTGAGGATGTGGATTCGAGCTGAGGGGGCTTACAGGGGAAAGGCCAAAACTACCCCAGTTCAGGTGAAACCTTTCAATTGTCACATAGGAAGGGCACCCATCTTAATCACCTGGATTTGTCTGCCTCAGCGCCTTTAGGGAGGCTCCTGCACCCAGAAGCTTCTCAACACCACAGAAATGTAACCCCAATATTCTAAAATGCTTTGGAATGTGTCTTTTGCACTTCAGTACAAAAACAAAATGCAACACCTTCTCTCACCTTTAATCGGTGTAAAGGTGTCTTTTGAAAACCAAACATAACGTGCAAAATGCACACATGATTTCACAAACTCCTCTGGGCACCACAATTGCTTCTGGGCTCCCTGCTCTACAGGCGTCTCACCTGCTGAAGTTCCAGCTTCTGAGCGTTCAGCTGTTCCTGTTGTCTCTCAAGCTCTTCCTTTTGTTTCTGTAGATCAGCTGATTTTTGGTTCAGGTCTTGCTCCTCTTTGGCAAGCTGTTCCTCAAATTCCTTGAGCTCTTCATCTGTGTAAGCAGGATTTTGTTCCAGGGTCTAAAAGAACTGACATCTTAGGCACAGTTGCTGAACAACTATTTGCATAAATAAAATAAGTCCAATGTATATAGGTATTGGCTTTTTAAGCATTAGTTGAGGTTCAGATGTCCAATAACTTTAAGAAACTTGATTCGGGATTTGTATGCCTGAAACCTACAACTACTGTGTCTTTTAAAAAGGTTTATGTAATTGAGATAAAACTAACTTACAACTATACAATAAATTTACAAATCAATCAGAAATTATAAAAGACAAAATAAGCCTTACCTCCCAGCTTTCTGGCTCCAAGAATTCCTTTTTCTTTGTAGCGACTAAGAACTCATCTAAAGAAACCAGTCTGTCCTTGTTTATGTCAACCTGTTAACAACAGCAACCATACAATTAGAAACCCTTTTTCACTTGTACATTCAGGAAAAGCAACTTAGTTTCTGTAAAGCAGACACTCAGAAGACTTTGAGTGTTGTTTAGTACTCATAGCAATGCATAGGTTGAATTTTTTGAATAACAATTTTTCTTATTTTACCTTATCCCCTCCCACTTCGTATTCAACAGCTGTTAAAAAAATTGCTAATACACTCGAATTGGTTTTACTGCAAGCCTGAGAAGACCTTGCAGGAGCAGCTGTACTCACCTGAAATCCAGTGTCTGTTGTCACCGCATGGTAGCAGATGCCTGGCAAGGTGCTGTTCCAAAGATTCCCTAGCTAACTTGACCTGCCCAGTCCCACTGACACCTGGCTGGTACCAGGAGTACCAGTCAAATTCATCTAATGATGTAGATCAGACATAGGCCTCCAAAACCAATTTCCTTTACGAGTTAAGTCAATAGAAATCCCTCTGCATACTTCTCTTTCCTTTTGGAATCAAGACTTTTTTATTGTATATCCAACCGATTTGGAATTACCATTTATTATAACGAAGACTTATGGAAACCCATCCACAGTTGGGTAGTGGCCAGACCCAGGCTGCAACTGACATGAGGTGGTGTTTTAAAACTGCCAGAGGACACATCAATGTGATTCCCAAAAAAAGTCACAATTTTTTTAAGGTTGTCTTTAGAATCACCTCATTCATGACATGTTCCCTCATTCTGAGTCTCTCCTCTTCCATCTCCACCATGTCATCTTCTTCATTAGTGGGGTCATAGAGCTTCTCTAACTAGGATCGCAGGAAAAACATCCATATTATTTAAGACTACTTGCTCTTCCCACACAGGGAAATAACAGGATTTCTTTATTATTCTATTTCACAATTTATGCAAAAATGTAAACGGAAGCACAAAACATGAGGCTGAATCCAAATAATTATCATTTTTTTAAATTTTAATTTTTTAAAGCTTTTCTTTAGAAATATACTATATTTTAAACTAAAATGTTACCCACTTTTCATTAACTGAAACAACTTTTCATTTTTCTCCGAGTCAAAAGAAATGACATCGTGCAATTGGTTTCTTCTTCACTTTAATGGAAATGCTATAAACCCAAGATGTACCTCTTTTGTAAAAAGGGCTTCCAACTCCTGTTCATCAAAGTAACCGTCTCCATTGGTATCTGTGAAAACATGGTTAAACAGTTTGCTTTAAAAAAAGGAATGCCGTTTTATTTTACAACCTTAAAGGCTGGTTGATGGCAATCCCTCGTTAAGTTTTAAATTAAAAAGATTTCTTTGGGCACTCTCCGGAAGTCCTCAATATCTGCTTACCATGCAGGTTAAAGAAAGTCTTTGGGTCAAAATCTTCCGGATCCAGGCCATCAGCTTCCTCCCAGACTTCCTTCAGTTGGTCCTGACTACCCTATGCACCAAAGAACAGCATATCACACCAAAGTACATTCACACTGTCCCTGTCACAGTGTGCTTATAACATCTTTATGAAAAAGAAAAACCTAGGACATCTAGACTCAAATTCCAAATATTTTTGCAGTATCTTACACCTTCAGAATTCTAGGAAGAAATAAAAAATAAGTAAGCTATGAGCTTTCTGGGCAGGAGAACATTTAAAAAATTTGCCTCAAAAACAAATATACAATAAAATTCACCTACAACAATAATTTGTCTTCATACCTGCAATAGTCTGCCGAAGCAAACATACATTTTATAAGAAATGCTTTGAGAGTGTTTCACCACTTCGCACGCTGTGAGAGTTTTGCTTGTGGGGGAACGGTGCCGCTCCGTACCGGGTGGTTGATTTTGGGGTGGTCGGCGTGCTTCTTCTTCAGTTCTTCATAGTGCTCCTCCTCCTTCTGCCGGTTCTCTTCGTCGAGCGTCCTCAGGTGCTCTCTCCGCTCGTGCTCCTTCATCATCTCGTACCTCTTGAACTCCTCGTGCCGCTCCTTGTCGTAGTTTTCAAGATCCCTCGTGGCCTGGAGGCAGAGGTTCACTGTGTCACCCGCTTATCGAGGCGATATGGGCCAACAGCCTCGAGGTGTTTTTTTTAAGGTTTTATTTCCTAACTTCTTAAGCATCGCCCGTTTGACCATGTTCACTGCACCTCCCACATGAGACAAGTCGGGTAAACCTGGAGTGTTTTGTATGAATATCATACTACTTGTGAAGAAAATAAACTGCACATTTTAGAAAAAAAACAGATTAAAAAATTAATATTTTTTATTAAAGGGTACTTTGCTTGAGCGCTCTGAAGCAATAGTCCAGCAGGTTTCATACTATAAATCTCTACAGACTAGGAATTAAGACAAAGAAGTGTTAAACTGGTTTAATAAAGTTCAGTGACACGTTTCTCTTCTATGGCTGAACACAAACGAGATGGAGCCACAGCCCTGGGGACCCCAGGTATGGGCCATTTCTTACCGATTTAATCAGCCTGTCCAAGTCATCAACTTCAAAAGTGTGAGGGTTCATGTGGTTCAGGTATTCAAACTGCTTCAGCAGGGCTTGATGGTCAATTGCCATGTCTAGGAGAATTTCAGGCAGAAGGAAGGAGGAAAGGTTAGGAATACACAAAAACAGCATTTTATATTAAGCCACCCAGGAGCACCACTCCAGCTGGTGTTCTTAACAGTGTACAAGATAGCATCTGCAACCCAGATGTTCTCTGACACACCATTTAGTTTTAGTAGCAGGAGCTGGGTTTTCTTTGTGGGCACTACATTTCTTTTTTATTAACGTTCTTTAAGAAATGCTCATCTGGTAGATTTATAAATGGGTAATGCAGCTACTAGCTATACAATACTAGAGTAGAATTCACCAGGTAAGAGTTAAACAATGTAAATCACCAAATTAGCATTACTGCACAGTCTACACTTTAGTTCTGTTTCTGCTAGGATTGAAGTACAATTGGATTCAAAGGCTCCCTGGTGGCTCAGTTGGCAGAGGTGCTTGTTCCAAGTACAGGTAGGGGTCTACGATCATAAATGTAAAAGGGTTTAAGAACTGGTACATGAATTGCTAGATGGACATTTCTACATGGAGTGTCGTATAATCAGGACTTCATTTCTTTACTTATAACTGAAAACTCCTCAAATATTTTACAGGGATGTATTGAAACTAAAAGTACATACTAAAACTTCATATCAGGCCAACATATTATAATGCTGTTCACTGACATTTTCCACTACTGCTAGGAATTTACTGGAATCTGCAAATGACCTCAGATGCCCAGCAACACATGTTGTCTGTCCTACACTGTTGCGTAAACACCAAAAGGGGTTGTAAATTTTGGTACATCTGGTATATTCAGCTGTTCAAACAGACACAGTTAGATACAGTCAGACAGCTGTGGACATGCTGTCCTGACTCAAAGCCTATTTACGTTTTTGAACTGATATTGCATGTGACTTTCAGGTAGCAAACCTTCAAACACCTCTAAAAGTCACATCAGGCCCTTTTTCCTTTTAAAGCTAGGAACTTGATATTTTTCTATAATCACAATCTTTGTTATAGCTTATTTATTTCTATGAAACAAAAACTGTAAAAAAAAAAGTGAGGTTACAGGTAAATAGGAGAGATGTATTCCTCTCCTACTGCCCTAAAAGAAGACAAAATACATCCAAATAAACGAATAATGAAAAAAAAACAACACAAAGAATGCAAAAATATGCTGCATGATAATTCACCGTGACAGTAAGTCAGGATTTTATATTTTGGCAGCAGTTGATGTTTGAACTATAGTTTTCACCGATATAGTGAATACTATCTACTTGCCAGTTTAAATGTAAAACACATGTAATATAGTATAATATTAGATAATAACCTACTTACAAGTTACAAGGGTTTAGACTCAATACAATCAGAAATAAAAGGCCCAGGTTGTATCCAAGTCTGAGCAATTGCAGTAAAGTTTTTCAAAAGAGACATGGTCTTTCATTTATATTTCTTTGTAAAATGTTTTTTACCCTCATCTTTTTGTCTGAGGTGTTGCTGAGTATGTCTGGCATTGTGCCATAGTAAGGTTTAGTTTCTGGAGAATACCTTTTCCCCCTTCAATATCTTGCTTGGCTTTGATCAGGGTCCGCAACCTGCTCACTTCCTGCCTCTTCAACTCATCCAGCTTTGTTCTCACATTGTGACTGACGAAATCCAGCTCTTTGGCTAGTTTTCCTTTCTGGAAAATCAGAAGCACGTTAGAGGGATAGGAGAGTTGTTTAACAGACTAAGGAGTTTTAAAGCGCCATTTCCACTCCATCCCTGTGGAAAGAGAACAAGTAAATAATAGTTACGTGATCCCTACAAAACACATTACAAGATACACAGCTGGAAATGTCCTGTACAAGTTACAAGAACCGTTTTGCTTTTTTTTATTCTATCCGTAAATTGTAAACCACAAATTCTATTAGCGAGTTGTTTGTGAAAACGGAAATGAAAAGCACATTCAGACAAGTAAAAATGGATGAAAGGGTGTTAAGACTTTAACGATAATATTCTCTTAGGAAATAATAGCAAAACTCCATAACATTTAGTTTAACCATGATACCTTTTGCTTACTGTTAACCATGTTTTTAAGTACAGTACGTTTATCTTACACCAGGGCAGTGTTTGGTTGGCTCAGCTCAACAAAACAGCCAGTGTGAATAGCACTGTACTACAAAGGCTTGGGTATGCTTGGAAGAAAAAGGAATTACTCTGGTCTTCCAACTCTGATCTGTCCAAATGTAGTGTTAATGCAATGGAACAGCTGTACAAAGAACTTTATTGAATTAATACTTTTTTTCCTGGGAAGGAGTGTGTTTGTTACACCTGCCATTGCAAGGATGAAAGCAATTTGAAATTGGCCCTTGTGTTATATGAACAGAAGTCGTATAGTAGCCGATTATTGAAAGCAGTATTGTTGCTTGACAGTTAGTGACTTGTACCGCAATGAGTGGAAACCTCTGTACTCTTGCTATCAAGAAGGAAGTGACAATGCACAAAGTCTGCCAAGTTAACAGGCCGTGTTCCTAAATCACACCAAAGTTCTTCCGACAAATACTATCCATGTGGAAACCTTTAATATACATGTGTAAGGAAGGGTCTATGGATATATGGATATCTGGGCCCCTTGCTCTTCAGCATTTACATGTTCCAACTTGGTCAGCTTTTAAGATCACATGGCCTCAGCTTTCATTTTTACGCTGACGATACTCAAATATACATCCATACCAAACCCGACACTGATGTGGCAGTCTCTATTCTATCTAATTGAATCTCCGACATAAAAATTTGGATGACTCAAAACTTCCTTCATCTTAACTGTGACAAGACTGAAGTCATGCTTATTGGTACCCCCCATCAACTTCGTAAAGCCAGTCCTGTAACCCTGTCTGTAGATGGCTCTGTACTAGAGCTTCAATCAAAATTGAAAAACCTTGGGGTTATATTCGATTCTGGCTTAACATTCGACCCACATGTACAGCATACTGTCAAAACATTTTTTTCACCTTAGAAATATCGCAAGACTACGCCCTATGCTATCATTAACTGTGGCTGAAAAGCTGATTAACATATTTGTATTCTCTCAAATTGACTACTGCAATGCTCTACTCCCTGGGGTATCTAAATCTACTCTGAACAAGCTGCAGTATGTCCAAAATTCAGCAGCCAGAATCCTGACCAGGCCTAGTGCAAGTGTTCACATTACTCCTATCCTGGAGTCCTTGCACTGGCTTCCGGTCAAATTCCGCATAGACTTTAAAATCCTCATTCTCACCTATAAGGCTTTACATGGCTTAGCACCTCAATACCTGTCTGAACTTTTATCACCCTACTCCCCACCTCGCAACCTCCGCTCTTCAAATTCTGCCCTCCTTACTGTCCCCCAAGCCTGTCTACATTGTATGGGCGACAGGGCCTTCTCCTGCTATGCCCCAAAGCTCTGGAACTCTTTGCACAAGAATATTAGAGAGTCACCTTCTCTAAACTCCTTCAAATCCAGACTCAAAACCTTCTTCTTCAGAAAAGCCTTTACTTAAATGGTTCCATTCTTCACCCCTCTGCTCTTCTTAATACCACCTTCCACGGTCTCCTCTATTGTTATTGTTGTATTGCTGTAATTATAATTGTGTCCTGTCTTGTGAAATCTTCTTATTTATTGTTGTAGTCTTCTTATTTATTGTTATTGTCATCCTGTAAAGCGCTTTGAGAAGCCACCTTTAAAGGTGCTATATAAAATAAAGTTTATTATTATTATCATTATTATTATTATATGTGAAATGCCTTTAGAAAATAGATGTGGTTGCTAGGGAGTAGAATGCACCATTAAATTGCAGAAAATAGAAATGTAAAACAAAGTGACTTCTACTGAAAATGTAATTACAGTTTTACGTGGGTACTATGTAAAGCGATCATTTTAAAACACTGTTCTTTTCCAGAATATTTTCTTTTGTTCCTTAATCGCCTTTGCTTTTCAAAGTTTCTGAATCGTTTACTTGGTGTAGGTAATTCCAATAAAAAAAAACTTTTAAGTACAAATACTATTGTCATGTCGTGTCATTTACCAAACCACTTTATACCATGCGGTGTCGCGGGAAGCTGGAGCCTACCCGGCAAGCAACAAGCGCAAGGCAGGGTACGCCCTGGAAGGGGCACAAGTTAAATCCAGCCATATAATTTAGCTTCGCAGGTGTTTACATTATATACGTGCCAACAACAATTTTTTTTCCAGAAAGATTTTTGAAAGCTTTTTAAAATGCAGTGCTCCCATGCTGCATTCTTTTCAATCACCACATAGTCCATCTTTTGTTCTGCTCTGATCCAATTTGTTCGCTTGGCTTGGCTTCACTAGGTTCATGCTGCAGCAAGCCTTTCTCCTTGATAAGGCAAGTATGGTCGACAACCACTTGACTGCACTGTGGTCACATTTCTTTCTAAACAAAAGAAGTAGGACTCTTGTCCAGAATGTCTAGGAACATTTTTTAATCATTTAATCTTTGTGTACAACATGCCTTTTTTGTGCCTTTTGTTTTTCATTTATACTTGTTATACTTTTACTAAACAATCTAATGTAACAACATTAAATTTGAGGTTCATTACAGAAAAGGGAACACGAATACCACAGAAACCAACACTTGCAGAACATAAATATACTAAAACTTAAGATATTCTAAAACTGGCAGCACAAGACAGAAAATGAAACAGGCAGAACAAGAATGTTCGCCTTATGGTAGTTAAAGCACAGTAAATGACAATTCAGCACTCATTTTTTACAACAATCTTTAACCTTGAAGAAAAAAATGCATTAATGCCCAACACCAAGAAATAGTGAATAAAACCAGTGCTGTACCTTGATGTCCTCCATGTCTGTGTTGTGCAGCTTCTCTCTGAAATGTTGGTCTTTTTCTAGAAAATCAATGACTTCCCTGAGGTAACGGTCATAGTGCAGTCCAGTGTCCTGACACAGAAAGCCAAAATGTTCATGCAGGGTGAAGCAGATGAAATCCGCTTGCTAATTTACTGAATTATCGACTGAGTCATCTGTTGATGCATCCTTAAATAAAGAGCACTAACGAATCCTGGGGAATAAACTTAAAAAAAACAATAGCAGTACACCTGCTACAAACAATATCATTCAAACTCTGCATATTTCTGACTCAGTCAGAAATGCATACTGTATATCTGAGTAAAGCCGAAATGAAATGAAAAATTGATTTTGTGAAAGTATATTTTTTCCCTGCCATTATTTGACCTTTCTACATAAGACCCAAATGATTTGTTTCTATTATTTGCAAAGCAGGGCAATACCCATGAAATCGGCACTGAAAAAACTAAAACCAAATATCTCCACTTTTGCTGCCAGCCTGTAAAAGGCATATGGGTGACACAGATACAATATTTTGTGTTGATATAAGAATGTGCATTATGACAATGTATCATTTTGCTCAAGGCTTATCCTATTTGTACATTTAACATTACAAGTTAAACTTGCAACAGTGAATGTGGCACAAGAAGACGGCCAGAAAGTATGGAACTGTTTTTGCTTTGAGGCAATACGCCTCAAAATATTCATCAGCAATTAACATAATTATAAGTGTAATAAGCATAATTATTAGCTTAATAAGCTACAGTTCACTTTTAGCATTCCACCAAGCCTGGAGAGGCACTGACATTGGCTTAAGCTGAGTTGGTGAGAAACGAGAGGACAATTATTCACAGGAGTTAAACCTTTCCAAGAGAAAAACTGGTATTGTGTGAAGTCAGCATAACGAAGGAAAATAGATTTACTATTTCAGCATTCTAGCAACCACTTATTTATTTTAATACAGGTTTGAAAAGACACATGATTATTAATCAAAATATTTTGTGAGCCAACAGATGAGACAAGGATGAAAAGCACACTACTTTAAAATCGGAACAATTATTAAAATAAAATTCAAGATTTCTAAGGTCTCAAGAAAGAATGAACACAAGAAAGAATGGGAGATGCCAAAAGTAAGGGGAGAGATTTAGTAATCAGAAGGAGATTTAAAAATATATAAGAAACCGTAAAAGTAAAACAATACTATTGAGATTTTAAAAATGTTGAACTTCTGTCACAACCATATAACAGTAATATTCACCCACAGTGTTAATGTCATAAAGAAATGGGTGTATATCGTATCACCCAAACCAAAGTATTAACTATCTTCTTTCTTACTCTGGGGTAACTTCAATGCAATACGTTGTTTTTTTCTGCTTTTACATCCTGCCACACTTACCACATTTTGTGTCTTTTCTTCTGGTTTCTCTGGTGGAGGGCTTACTTTTGTCTTGTCTATACTTATAGGCACGGCTTCAGCACAAATGAGCAGACAAGCGAGCACTAAACAGCAGTGGCTCAAGCCCACACTCCAACACATCTGGAATAAGAAGGAGACAAACTGGCTGGTGGAGCTCATTTGGATAACTCAGCATGAGTTACAAAACATATTATTGTATTAGCTAATGGGATAAGAGCCAAAGAAGCATTATAACTATATGTTTTCCTTTTATTTTACCAATAGTGAAAATCCTATCAGTATTAATTACTAAAGACGAATTCCTAATGCAAGAAATTGTATAGGGCTAATAAAGTGATCTTAGTATTGGTTACAGTTTAGGACCGTCATACCATACCATATGGTAAAAATCACTTTTTACCATATGGTATCCTAAACCGGGTATTATGTACAGCTATTTGAATTTCTGACTCACTCAGTTCTTAAATTAAAATAGGTGGTGGTTAAATATCAGACTTTTTGTACAACCTACTTTATAAAGTAATATCCAATCAAATATGTTAATTATTTGTTTGACTAACGTCCCGGAGGAGGGAAAAAAGCATAGATTTGGCATTTGAAACAGAGGTGTAACCCAGTTTACATTAAGTGATGACAAACTGATAATTTAAGAACAAAACACTCCTGTTCAGCTCCATGAGATGTTGATGATTTCTAATAATATAAACACCTTCCTATATCCAAAAGCTATGCTATAATTGTGCATTAAATCAAATATTATAGAAGGGTGGAAGGTTTCAAAACTACACATCCTATATCACCATAATTATAGTTTTCTTCAAGGACTATTGAAATAGTCAAGTGCGTCTCATACTCGTTTTTGTTTGCTTGTATTCACACCTTACGGTTTTGCAAAACGACTAAGCCCGTTGGAAGAGTTTTGTCGGATTCAGTTTTACTCCTGCTGCACACTGACTTTAAAACCAAAAAAAAAAAAGGCAAACCAATGAGTGACTTAATGAGTGACGCCGGCCTCCGTGTTTCAGATCGGCGTTTGTTTTCCCCTCTCCGCTCTCCGGCTAAGCGTGGATAAACTGTCACATTTCCGAGGGATTCACCGTCGCTGTCCGTTTACGGTTTCGACTAGCTTCTAAATGCAGATGATGTTTCATACATAAATAATCGGAATCTGACTTTACACTATCTAAAAACTTGAAGACACATTCACATCTCGCTGTATTTACAACATCTGAACACGCTAGACCCGGGATTTCTTTTCAACCCGACATCCAAAGGAGAGGGCTAGTTCACCCCCAAAAAAGTTGTACTATCCTAAAACGCAAAGAGCGCTATATCCGTAACGTATCGAAGTTCTTTCTCTTACTCTGTTAGCTGTCATCGCCTTTTTTTGAAAAAACAATCTTTCGTCGCTTCTTTGCAGGATCCTTCATTCACCTAGGTCTCCGCCGCAGCTCCAGTTATAGTTTTACTGTAACACAAACCAGAGCCTTTAACCCCGCCCCTTCCTACCCATGGCCCAGCCCAAACTCGCAAATACCATGGCAACCCTCCGCCTCTCTCCGCGGCCATTGGACAGAATCGTCCTCCTCGATTTATTTAAGGCTTCGTCTAGGCAGGGTATTGGGCCTAGCAGGCGTCTGTCAGTTTGGGGTTTGGTTGACTTCCCTGTCAAGTTGCGTTGCACCGAGACGTACGTGGCGTTCCATTAAGCCTGCTTGGGAAGGTGATGTCAGTGTGGGTTTTTTAAGTGGTAAAGGTTAGTATCTTATCTGTCGCAACATCCCCGATGAAGAAGATTGTCTTGTTCAACCAATGTGTGCCGTCGGACTAAAGCTTTTGCTCGGCCACGCTACGTTATGTGTAGCTTAGCTGCGCAAAGATGTTGCAAGTGCTGTTGAGTTGCGTTGCAAAGCGCACAGTCGTACAACAGTTAACTGGTGGAAGATGTCGAGCTGAGGTTTACCTTTGTGGATTGTTAAAAAATGCGTAGATGCCAAAAAGTGCACCCTTTGTGGACTACCACCAAGATCTTGGTGGGAAATCTCTCTCCGTGTGTGTGTGTGGCTTCAACTTAAAGATAACACTTATGTTCTTGGTTTCTACATATTTCCCCCTGTTGTTCATAGTGCATACTAAGGACTTAATGATGAGGGCACAAATCCCGCTTTAGTGCCATTTCACTGTTTTTGCATGGCCTTTTAACGTGTTGCAAAAGACGTAGAGCAATGTTGTTTGCAGTAATTTCACTTAACTTTTCTTAAGTTAAATACTACAACGACCAAAGACTATTTTACATTAAAATGTGGCTGTGTGTACGGAAAGGAAACGCCCATGGATCTTAATCGTATAGATTGTTTATTCTCCTGTATTCCATTTGTGTTGCGTTATGCTTAGATGCACACCAAGATCTTTAGAAACCAGTGGAAACTGGTTTAGGGTTAGTCACAATAAACATGCTTAACTTTCTCGAGCCTGGGGCTATTAGTTTTTTCTATATTATGTTCTTCCTGGATTCAGGCACTTCAAGGGGTGCCTGGAGTTAAAATCATATTAAAGCAAATACAGTGTATATTTCTTCCTTTCATTTATACATCTTAAAAATGCTTTTTTTTTAATTTGAAATACATAAGGTAATATTCCTGTGTCATCCTTTTTGTGTGAACTCTTGAGTTCCTCTGATTTAAGTCTTTTTTTTTTTAACGAAGACTAAAAGCCTTACATGACCTGTTTTTGTATTATAATACACACCACATGTGATGAGTGTAATGTGCATTTTTGCTCCCATCCCATCATCCAGGTGGGAGCTACACATTGGTGGAAGGGACTCCTCATACCTGTATCTGTAGAGCACTTTGAGTGGAGTGTCCAGAAAAGAGCTGCAGTATATAAGTGTTAGGAATTATCTGCATAAATTAGTTTCACTTTGCACACTGGGGCCAAATAGTTAAATGCATCCCATACAATAATATTATTTAGATGTGGCAAGTATTTGCTTCAAGGTTGTATGAACCATACATTGCTATGACATTAACTTGGTACATGGTGAAAAATGACCGTATCCATAAACCATTTGTTTTGATACTGGTGGCTGCTACCTCAAGGAGCAGCTCATAAGACCTGGATTGTCCATTTTATAATACAATATAAAATAAGCGATGCTCAAATTGGTAAATGCTCTTCTTTTATAAAATGTTTTCCTAATTTAAAGAGAACCGTTTATGCTAACTCAGTTTCCCTTTTCACCCTGTGCCACATTCTTGTGCAAACGCCAAAGAATAGATTTAAGATTAATAATCTTCGCGAAAATCATAACCGCTGTAGCATCTTGCATGCAAAGTATTTGGATGTACTGTAGGTCACATTCCCTGCTTCAGGCTCATGAAGAGTAGAATTAATGAATTTGAGCCAAAGCTCAAATAGTTTGCTCAGATGATGGTGTACTGTGCACTGTATAGTTCAAATGCATTAAAAATTAACATCAAATTTAAGTTTGAAGTTGTTTGCTTGGCCTCCGACAAACAGTGAAACCTCTGCTTTGGTTGCTTATTTTTAGAAATGACAGTGAGAGCCTTATGGAGAGAGCTGTCACTCTTGTTCTTACAATAATAAATCTCTGTTCACCCAGCAACCTTTATTCAACTCGCTGAAATTCTGCCATGCCCTGTGGCACCTTTCTTATTTCTGATTCTTCTAAAGTTTTCTTCATAGAAAAAGTACCTTTTAGAGGTCATCTCGGTTTTCTTACATTGCAGGGTAAAAGTTTTGTGTACTTGAATTGATGCTGAAAGTAAGCTAAAACATGATCATTTAACGGCAGTGATAAGGCATTGCAGCAGTGGCTTCATACTGTACAGGACCCACACAGACATCCCAACAGTGGCCTGAAGGTAGTGTGATATGTGTTTTGGTGTAGAATCTGTAGAGAATTATTAGGGCTGGGTGTCAAAGGAATTTCACATGTGCCTTCTGCTCACATACAAAGAGGCCTACATTCAAGAGTCCTTGTGCCAAAGAGGAAAATCGAAGTGCAAAACAAAAATCTGATGCAAACTGTCATACATAACAGTTCAGAATGCTTTATGTTTGTTCATTCATTTTCTAACCATTTCATTCAACTTAGAGTTGGAGGGGAGCAGGAGCCTCTCCTGGCAAACAGTAGGCACAAGGCGGGGTACACCTTGGATGGGACGTCATACCATCGCAGGGCACATACACCCACTCTCGCACTTAGGGCCAGTTTTCCCAGAAGCCAATTAACCCTATTAGTATGTGTTTGGACTCTGGGAGGAAACCCACGAGAACATACAAACCACACAGAAGGCTCCCTGGGTCCCCCAGCAGTGTTAACCACTGCACCACAGTGCCGCCTGTGTGTTATGTCACTGTATGATAATTAAATGCCTACATAATGCCATGATGCCAACCTCAAAAGCTAAGTTCTTTCTGTGTAGCCTTACTGCAGCAGTCATGGGCACAGAGCATCTGTTTAGAAAGTTTAGGTCTGGCAATAACAATGAGTACAGTTTTGACCTTGCTCAAAAGTGAAAATCAGAAATATGTTTTAACTGCTTCTTCAGGTATGTATAAAACATGAAGAAAGCCTAGCATTTTAAATGTTATGGAAACTACTGTCCATAAGTGCTTCCCTAAGCAACAGGACAGCGCTTGAGCAGATCTGCTTTGAAGAATGAGGAGTCTGAAAACGTGTGCGATCAACATATTTCGGTGGTTTGCCTTTAGCTTTCTTGACGTTTACTGTAACTAATCTTAGCCTTAGAAGTCTTCAATTTGAATTTATTCAGAATTCAAGTTCTGAATAAAATATTAAGGAAACAGTTTTTTTTTAGTTTCACAAAATGGGACACCATAGGATGGATGTGAAAACTTTTGCATAGCAGTGTAGCTGCCTTTAATTAGGAGGTAAATGTACTGTATTGTATTGCATTGTTTCCAAGCCAAAGCTAGTGCTTCTACATAGATGGTTTAGTGTGCCCAAGGGTGTGGCAATAGGCATGAGCCATCAGCACACATCAGTGCAAAAGCTTCTTCTCATGCTAGAAAAAGGTATGCTTTGCACTTCAGGAAGATGCACAATGAGAAGACCAATTTTTTATTTAGTCATGATGACATCCTGGAGATGTTTTGGAGCATACAATTATCATGCAGTGACATAATATGATCTGAACAGCAGTTTGATATAATTTGATTTTGATTCATGCTGGTTTTTCTCCATGATCTGCAGACTTAAGTCTTGGTGTGATTACGCAGTCGACATCTCAACAGTCGTCAATTTAAAAGAAAATGTGAAGTGATCAGGCTCAACTTGTTTTCTAAGCAGTTTAGTAAACTTACGTTCTGTTGACAGGTGCTCAGGCACAACAGGGGATCAATGTGCTAACCAATACAGAACATCCAGGTAAGGATTGATCCTGATGTCTTCATCTTTGTAAAGATCTGCTATGGATTGTGATGATAGCAGTGAGGTGCATTTTAGTACTTCATTGACTATAGTTCAAAACAGTGGTTTTACTTTTCACAGCAAAGTGAGATGACAGAGTACAGGAAAACCACATTAACAGACCAAAATAAATGTCACTCTTTCTTTAAAACCTCATTTGTGTCACTGGAAATTTGTTAATAAACATTTTCTTCTTGAGCACTATTTATGACTTGTTCACTTTCATTCCACATTGAATTCTGTTCTCATTCTAGGAGCCTGCTTTTAAGGAAACTGAGGACTGCATCTGCAAGATTAACAACTTTTCCATAGTGGATGAGCTGTAAATCCAGATAGTTTCTGGAAGCTATGGGAAGCAAAAAAACAACAACATATAAATATCCACTGTTTTCACATTCCAGACCAATCAGACCATTCTTCATAATCTTCACTCTATTTTCTATTTCCATTATGCTTTAAAGTGAGCATTGCTCCCATCAGGCCATAAAACATTAGAATTTCACACCATTGCTCAACTTGTGTGCCCTAGGCACATTATCGCAAACTAAATCTGAGATGTTTGATATCGAAACAAATCATCAGTTCTTTGGAATATGCTTGGAAAATGATCAGACTTGTTTTTCGAAGGAATACCAAGAACGTTTTTTTCTGTCAATTATCTGTTGTAATAATACAGAACACGGTATCAATAGATACAGCTATATTCAATGAGATTAGCTGAAATGTGTCAGTCCCGTTATAGGTCCCCTTGGCAACAGAAGATGTTTCAAGATGTGATATGTTAGCAGAAGGGAAGCAGATGTCTTAGTTACTATGTATACTAAAGTGGCTTGAAGGCAAATACATAGTTAATTGGGTGCTAATCATTATTCGATATCCAGTGGAAAATGTCTTGACTAAATAAAGGTAGCATCAATTAGCTTTTTATTGTATCTGCTTAAAAATATGGTGATCTTGATCAAAGATATTCTAAGAGAAATGTGCTATTCTTTACAAAACTGAACAATAGATCTATCTTATAAAAAGCCTGATGCTAACTGAATGAAAAAGGAAGATCTTCAAGGCTTCATTTTAAGGTGAATGAGTAGTATATATAACTGTTGGGTTAACACACACTATACATTTCAAAATAAATCTTGGGAGAGCTGAGAAGAAACAGTACAAAGGTATTGTTCATCTAAGATTCATTACAGCTGTGAGGTGTCACGAGTCAACGAGAGAGTCCAGGCTTATTTTATTTGAGCTTCATATACAGTATTTAAAAGATGTAGTTGCACTATCTACATGAAACAAACATTTTGGCCTGTTTTACAATACCTGGAATTGACTCAATTAACCTCAGGCACAATCTTTGAAATCTGACCAACTCTGTAAGCATTTATCCCACTATTTCTGATATCTCAGTAATTATGGCCAGAATGGCTGCAAAATAAGACCTCAGTGACTTTGAAACAGCAGTAGTTATTGGGGTGCATTTGGCAGGAGCTTCAGTGGCCAGGCCAGCTTGCTGATCTTTCACGAGCAGCAGTGTCTAAGGTGATGTCAGATGGAGCTCAGAGGGAAAGACGTCACCAGCAGAAGGCATAAGTGGGCAAAAGTGCATGATACAGAATTACAATCCCATGCATTCATTCAAAGTGCGAGGCAAAACAGACAAGCAGCTGCAGGTCAGTTGATTACAAACCTCGACCAGTAGTGAGAGCAGCCAGTCTCATTCAAAACTCCGCGTAATGGGACACCATAGTCGGGCTACAGGGAACAAGCCGCTCATCCTACTTGACATTGTATGTTTGTGACTCCAGTGGTGCAAAGATCACAAGCAATTGACTACCAAGCAGTGGAGAACTGTGATATGGTCAGATGAATCATCTTTCACCATGTTCTTGACAAATGGCCAAGTGCAAATGTGGCACCAACCAAAACACTTCTACAGCCCTGAGTGCTTAGTTCCAGCAGTGAAGGGTTCTGATATTTCTTTAATGTGGTTGGGCATATTTTATTGACATGGTTGGGGTCTACTTATTCCTTAAGAAGGTAAGGACAAAGCTAATTTCTCCTTAATGGTGCCGAATGGTCATCTTCACATCTTTCAGGATGACAATGAATGCAGAATCCCAGATGCTGGCTGTCTCTATGCTATGGCACATACAGGCTCAACACTGTATTGTGACTTTACATTAGTGGGTTTTGTTGGCCTGCCATCTGTAACTGTTTTTTATTCATTTTCAGATTTCTTTTTAAAAACCTGATCTAGTATCTTTGTTGGTTGTTCTGACAGTGATAGGTCAACCACTTACAGGTGGTGCTACACTATCAACCGGATCGTATCGGCTACCTACACACATTCCTGACATACAGTATTTCACATGCGTATTTCCTTTTTTGTTGTTTTTGACAATGTGCATGAATTGGATTAAAAGGCTTCCCCTGCTGTACATATATCCTCATAAGTGTGTCACAGAACTAGAAAACCACAAAAATGATCGTTTTCCTGGAATCATTACCTGATTTGCTGAACGATACACTTTGACTCTGCATTCTCTAAGCTGGTCAGAGGGCGGCACTGTTGCGGTTGGTACGCGCAAACTGCACTGCAGCCTCGACTCTGAGACAGGAACTGACGTCGTGTCTCTGGTTGGATGGATACAGTTCCAGCAGCAGGAAAATGGCTACATCGGTCGCTCACTCTGTAAGGTGGGAAATGTTTATTATTTCTTAAAACCGTGCTATGCGGCAGTTAGGACAGCCAATTCAGTGTGTTTTGTTTATGAGGACCAGTAAGCTTGGTGGTGTTTCGGACGTGTCCGAGCCTTTTCTTTGTTGAATTTCACTTTGTTGGCAGGTTGCTGTGTTGATAGTTTTAAATTATTCAATCAGTGTAGGATAAAGTTCAGGAGCCTGGGTATCCTTTGACTAAAAGAGCTAGGAAGCAAGTGCTCTTTATTGATATTTCAAAAATGTGTTTCACGGACCAAAATAATTTCTCATCTCTAACAATAGTGTGTAAATAGTAGGGATTTTTTTCTTGTTTAGCGAGTAATTTACTGTTGAATGTTTAGCCTCCATAAAATAAAGATTAATGTGCTTTGGGTAAAAAAAAATCACTTTCGTTTCCCTTTCTGGCATTGTGAACGTTATTTCTTTACATACGTTGGTGCTCTTAACATAAGACGCCGTTCACAAAGTGAAGTAATAAAAAAACTTTCAAAACTACTCTTATTTTGCATTGGTTGTATTCGTCTATCCCCCCTCTTGCACAATAATCAATGAAAACAAGTCGCATTAACTTTATACGGTGTTTTTATATACGTACTGTAGCCCTGAAGTGGATCTCATTGTAGACTTGTAATACTGTACCTTTGGATACTTGCTAGCGTTAATTAACCTTTGAAAATCTGTTTTCGATCCGCAAGTTTTTTGTACCGTTGTGAAAGTGCCCGTGTATTACATGTGATGCTTTAATTTAATTGTAAGATTCTTGACAACATTTTCTCATTTCTGTCTTAAGAATTTGAGAGAACTGTGCATCAGTGATTGGCAAGAAGCCCATTTGATTTTTCATCTGAGCAGCGTTCACTTCCTGAACTCCCTTTTACAGTGTGACATTAATCGTTTTTTTGTTTACATTTGAAGTATAAAAGATAGCATTTTGCGGATTCTAGTCCTAGTGTTACAAAATTCCCAAAACGTCTTTAATGTCAAAATGATTTGCCTATCACGCTTAGGGGTTATTGTGAAATTAATGGTAATCGCTGCTCTCTATTACTAATAGTGTTAGTAATGTAAAATCCCATACATTCTGTTTAAGACGAAGCAAGTAGCCTACATGGTAGAATCCACTTGTCTCCAAGGCAGTGAAGATCACAGTCAGATGAGATTTCTGTTTTGTGTGCTAATAGTGAAACAAAATACTGTATTCAAGAGAAAAGGCTTGTGTAACTGTGCAGTCAGGGCGTTAGAGATCTTCAGTTTTTCACAGTAAAAAACAAAAAGAGATCTGTCAGCTGAGACTAAAACTTGCAGTCCAGTGCTCGGTGACGTTTGTTGGAGTGCTTTTCTGTAGATGATGTGGTTATAAAGGGACCTTAGGGAAGAGAGAAAAATGACAAGCTGCAAAGATCTGTGTTCAGTGTGTACCTTCACCTTGGTGGTGCACCATTAACTCCTTTATTTGCTGCAAAGCTCGTGATATCAATAAGGGCTTGTCATACCAGTGCTGAATCCAAGGCCGTTTCATCAGGCATTATGTAGTTGGCAGTTCAAGTTCAAATGGTATACAGGATTCTGTGACGTTTTCATGGAAAACTATTTTAGTAGACTGAACCATATTTTGTTTTTCAAAAAGAAAATATATGGGGTAAACAATTATAAAGGTACAGGGACAATTTGTTGGAGTAGTTTAATGTGCTACAGTTGTTACTAAATTGTTTTTTTATATAATTGCCTGTTTGGGAATAACTTTAGGGTAAGGTGATGTATCTGTTTGACATTCCTATTTATGTCGAGTGTTACTGGGTTCCTGCTGGGGCTGTTTTCTCATGACTCTCTTTCGCTCCTCCAAGCCTGGCTCTTACCTCTGTGCCAGCTCAGCTCAGTGTCAGTCTCCTGAGAACTGCCTAAATTAGTCAACTCCTCAAACTCATGCTGGGCTGAGCAGGTCAGAGATTGAGAAGTTCTTCAGTTGGATTGTCATTTAGGAGTGCACTACAGTTAAATCTCAAATTGGACCTTAACGTCTCTTATTAAGCTTTAGTTATGTGGTTTTTTTTTTGCATTTCTGAATTGTTTTTCATTTTAATGTTTAATTCTGTAAGCAGTGATGGAACTACAGGAACTTTAAGGTAATCATGTTTCGGTATTTGGGATGCAGATTACATTTCGTCAAAGATAAAACTGAATGTGAAGCCTATTATGTTAATCAGAAGAGCTTCATTTACTGTTTGTAGAGTTGGGGTTTATTGGTGATTATCTTGATGTTTACAGCCAATATTCTTAAGGTTTTATGTTTTAATTCAAATTTTCTACTCGTAGCAACTTATTTCATCACTTCCTGAGCTCCAAATTGCTGTTCTGTGACAAACTACCACCTTTAAAAAAAAAAAACAATTGTGTGGAAAGTTCTGTGAGAGTCCATGCTGCATTGTCTTTGATATTGGGTCCAGCCAAAATATTGCATCCAGCATAAAAAAGCTTTAGCTTGAACAACTTCCAACATACCACAGCTGCCTTGTTTCTTTACTGGGACATGGGGACTTGAGAACAAGTTATTTTTTGACATATAAATAACCAAACATAAGTTAAATACAGAACTGTAAATGATGCAGCAATGTTTTCACTTCGGGCAAAGATGTTGATGAGCGAAGGCTATTTCTGTTTAGTGTGGGAATAACACACACTCCTTGGAGGCAATACATTCAATGTAATGAATGTTGTGTAAAACTTTGTGTTAAATGCTGGAAGATTGGTCATCACCACTTCCCTTTTTACAATTCACTGTTTTGAGGCACCTCATGTTGCAAAACCCTGTTGTAAAAATCAAATTATGCAGTACTATTGGTTTGTTTTCAGGGGGCATATCCTGCCAGTGCTTATCTAAGAATGCTTTGTAATCTGTGAAAACAGCAGGAAGTTCAGCCTGACAATCTTCAAATTAACAAAGCTTTCTCGAAGCCAAGCACCGCACAAATAAATCTTTAAACTCGAAGGACATGAATTAGTTATTCATTTCTCTCCTCAAGATACAGTTGTACTTTGATCTGCTCTTCACTGGTGTGCTAGGTGCAATGCTTTTTATATCCAATGGACACCAGATCACCAAAATCTTCCAGGGATTTTTTCCAAACACTACTAATGTGTACAATGAGAATACATAAATAATGAGCTGACCATTATCAGTCCTTCAGGTAAGAGCTCTGCAGGGTTTATTCTGCATTTTAAATCATAAACTACAGAGTTTTTTTTTTAAATAACAATTGTTCAATAAAACCCAGAGTCTAACTACAGTAAACACAATTCATTCATTGGCACATATAGCAGAAGCACTATGGCTCTTGAGAACACGAGGATCCTTAAACTCCCCTTGAGAAGTCTTTATACCGTTTTATAAAAAAAAACATTCTTTATTGTAGACCTACAAAGAGGCAGCTCACACCTGATGGAGGCTCCATGCCCAAAATATTGTGATTTTTTTCTTCCTTCTTGTACTGATGCAATGTGGAATTAACCTCTGCTTGGTACTTGAAATTGAATCACGTTTTGTTATAAGTAAGAATTGTTGAATACACAAATCATATTTTTACATTCAGAAGACTGTCTTACTGGCAGGTTTCATGCTCAGATATTTTTCCTTTTTAGGGCTTTCACAAAAATGCCCGCCTTTTAAGTCATGGCCTTGAATGACTGTCTTGTGTTGTTGTAACTTTTGATCTTTGTAACTTGAGAAGGAAAGGGAAATCTTGAAATAGACTTTATTTTTTCTATACATGAAAATCTTAACTGGGAAAGAATTTTGGTACATTGAAAAACAGTTCAATAAAGCAGATAATCAGTACAGCACAGATTGTGTCTTTATGACTGCCATGATTTCCTTTTTTCAATGGAAGTAGCTGAACACCATCTACGTTTTCTAGCAATAAAAATTAAAATATTTTCTTCATAGGAAAAAGTTACTAGTTCTCCCTGCTGGCATAGTGGGTTGGCAGGGTTGACCATCTTGCCCTTACTAACCCTCAGCTCACTGGGTGTGCTGTGCCAGTCTGTTTCTCATTTGCTCAATTACTTTACCTTATTGTTTAAATAATATTAGGAGACTAGGATGTTCTTATGTTGGGTCAGTAGGAAAGGATCTGATCTTTTATAACAGGCTCTGATATGAATTAGGACACAGAAGTGCTAAACTCTCCCTCCATTTTTTTGTGGCTTTGTGTAATATTCAAAAAGATAAGCATTACAATTAGGGACTGAACTTTTCACACTTCATTTCTGATCACATGGTGCCTCTTTGGGAATAGTTTTGAGATGATTCAGCCTCTTGATTAAATGGGCAAAAAGTTCAGGTATTTAAAGATCATTCCTTGTCTGAGCATCTTGTTTTCTTTAGCTTCGTCCTTCCATCACAGGCAAAAGGTTGCTTATCCCCAAACATGTTTAACTTACATGCCATTCTAGTCCTTCTGTAATTTAGTTTTTTATAGCATCTTTCTAGCCATTGTAGTTCTGTTATGTGGGAGTTGAAGGCACGATTGCCTGACCAGTACTCACTGATCAGTAAGGGGATACAGTGATTCACATTTTTAAAAGATTTTAAGCTAAATGAATCATTTTGATGGCCTAACAGAAAATACTTAGGTCTAATAATTCAGTCATGAAGAGATGAAGTTTATAACTCTTAAACCAAAGTGTGCAAGCTCAAAATATTAATAATATCAGTACTGAGTGATCCACATTTTGTCAAGGACAAGTAAGATTCGTAAAAATATATTTTAGTGCACATTAATGTGGCCCATGCTTCAACTTCTAAAGAAGAATTAAATAGCACATTAGCCTGTTATGCATTTAATATACAGTACTGTACCACAGCTGGTAACCATGCTGTTCCTTGGTTATTTCTAGCTTAGCTGATAAGGCTGTTAAAATGCATGCTATGAGCTGTAGATAGTTCTATCAAAAGAGACCTGCCTGGCTGCCTTAAATGTTAAATTGTTATGGCTTTGTTTTGTACATAGTCGCATGTTTGACTCACAAAAGAGTTAAGGGAAGAAAATGAGGATGTGATCTTCTGCAAAGTTCAGTCGTAGCATGAGAATGCTCACATAAAGAACAAGTGACAGTATTGTTAGAACTGTTGTTAGGAGGAACCATTCTGTGGGTCTTTAAAAGCTGAGCAACTTGCTGCCTGAAGAAAATAGCTCTGGTACATGCAGTGTAATACAAAATGACCTTTGTGGTTACAGGATCCCAGACTGAAACTACTGGCATGTGCTTGTATTTTACAGACCTGTGATGAAGAACTTTTATGCGATTTAATTCTTGTCCATTTTTCTGCAGTGTACAAAGTTAGATAATTATGCTCAACCTCTTATTTTTTTGCAACACTAGAAATTACTTAAGTTTCCTTTTTGTACTATTTAATTCTTGTGAAAGGTGAAAATGTCTATATTAAGCTTTTTCTCAGAGTTTCCTGTGTAAAACCTAGACTTTTGTAAATGTACTGTATGAGGTTGCATGTGTGAGTGTTCCTTTCTTACAAGAACACTACTAGGCTATATTGTAGACTTAAACTGCATACAAACATGCACATATATTGACTGAAGAATATGAACACATTTAAGAGTCGTTCTTAATCTCATATTTTCCAACATCCTTTTTGTTTAGGTTCTTAGTTTAAGCTGCAGGAGGTGGTTTACATAAAGAGAGGGGAGTTTAGTGTCATGATATAGCTGGTGTTGAATTGTGGGTATTAGTTTTTCTGCTTGTAAACCTAAACTGTCTTTCTGCTACATCTTAATTATAACTTACATGATGAGTACTTTGTGTATAAAAAATGTTAAATACAAACTTGTAAAGCCTTTTAACAAGCACACTGAGAATTCTGGAATGCATCTAAAGAAATCCATGCTGAAAACAAGAGTATTGAATTGTTCTTTTTTCAAACTGCTAAGCCAATTTTATTTTAATTGGAGTAAGTGAGTGAATCTTTGCCATCTTGTACTTAATCTGAAAATGTGCTAGAACATTTGTAAAAATGCATATCTATACACTTTTATTACAAATTTTATCATTTTTCATGTGAATACTGCTTTGGTAGAATGATGAATTAGTAAAAATACTATGCAAACATCTTTTCCACATTACATTTATCATTTTGTATCAGGTTTCAACACTTCAAATTATTCAGAGTGAATTGATCGAAAATTGCAGACATGTTGTTAAACTCTATCACACCAGACCAAATATTCTGTTGACAGATATTTGTACATTTGTATTTATAGTGTTTTTTGTACATTGTAACTGATAGCTAAGCATCTAGTCGCAATGAAGAGCTCAGTAAAACTGTCACATATCAGCTGTTTTAGGTTCTGAGTCTCCAGGTGGAAAGGATGTGAGAATTGAAATTTGACCTACAGTACAGTGTACGTCTCAATGGGTTAATTGTGAGCTTTCATTTTTCTGTTTTGGACTAGGGATAGAAATTCTATATTTTTCTGTTTCACCTGTGGAGAAAAACACCCTGTGATTCATGATCTGCATTTATTTAAAGTCTTTCTTGTATTTTGCTCCAGATTAATTCCGTAATGTGCAAAAAATTATCTCTCTGAGGTCTGTCAATGCCTGCCTGAAAAACTGTTTTTTCTGGGCACTTTGAAAGTCTATGTGGAACCATGGTTTGAAAGTTCAGTTGCTATCAAACTGAATTGCCTTTGATCCCTTTGAGTCCTCATAGAATATACCCTTGTGGTTTGCTGGGATCTATCACTCCTTCACTCTGTGCTGATGCTACTGTAGACACTGTGCAGCTCCCAATGTGAGAGGAGGTTTATGGCAAAGACAGTCCTCAACCCGCCAAAACTCGTAGGAGTTAGAAGCCAGTGGGATAATTGTCAGTTCAAACTTGGCATGGTATGAGATAATAACAGTCAATTCCATATTTTATACAAATAAGAAGCATTCTGATAGCATCGGTAGTTAGATAAGGGAATCTTTATTTTTGGATGGAACTTTATAAGCCTGTTTTGACTTCTGTGGCCTGACGTTAACTTGCTTTTCTGTTGTTGGTTTCAGAATCTTGAACGGAGTCCATTAAGAATCCATCCACAGCAGCACTGCGCTTTATTCATGGCACCTGTTAGTTGACACAATGGCCCAGATATCCAGTAGCAATGGGTTCCAGCAGAGTCTGTCCACCTCACCCGGGGCAAACAGGCCGAAGAATGTTGTTGGGAAGGAGGAGGCCCTGCAGATGGAAGCAGATGCTTTAGCCAAGTTGCAGGAGAAAAGGGCTGCATTCACTGTTGCTGCTAAGGCCTGTAATAGTGCAGGCCAGAAGGCATCTTCCACGCACAGGCCAGAGAAGGACCTCATCGTCTTCCCCGAGTCAGAGGCCAAGAAACAGTCGGAGAGAGATACATTTCAGGACATTGACGTGGAGAAGCTCACAAACAAGGAACTGGAGAAGCTGTTATTGGATGACAGCTTTGGTAAAAACAGTAAAGAATCCAGGCCTTTGACTTTACCAGGAGCAAGTGGGTTGAGTTCCTCGTTTTCAGGTCGGTCTTTCAGCCCCTCTCCATTCCACGCTGGTCAGTGGACTCCTGGGCTCTCGCATCCCACAAACTCGCCTCTGCCTGGTCCCGTCATCCGGTCCTCCATTTTCCCTTCCGCGCCTTTCCCTAAACAAGTGTGCTCTTTCCAGAATGGTTTTAACCCAGGGATGCCTGCTTTCAGGGCCACTGAGCCGTTGTATCTTGGCCTGTCGGCTCAGCCCCACTACATGGCCTTCCCTGTCCAACCTGCAGCATCTTTGCACTCAGCAGGGGTTATGCCTATGTACCAACCAGCTGTAACTCCAGAGATGGCAAAGCTGTTTGACAAAATAGCCAGCACCTCAGAATACTTGAAAAATGGGAAATCCACCAGCACAGACTTGGAATTTGCCAACGTCAAGTCCATAGCTCCGAAACCCCTGTCCTCGGAATGCACAAACATTAGTAAATTTGAGTGGCTCGATCTGGACCCTCTTAGCAAACCAAGGACAGAGACTGCAGAGGCCCCCAGGAGTAAGGAAGGAGCTGGGAGTTCAGAGCCAAACGCAGCCGGTGACCCCTGGGACGCTGTGCTTCAAGATGAGGGCCCAGCTGAGCCCTGGAGCAGCTCCCCAACAGCCACGGCTCAGCCCAGCAGGCCTGCTGTTGCCACTATCACCCGGAGCCACTCCCTAAATATTCCACCTAAAACTTTCCAACAGGGCCAGACCACACAGGTACAGTTTACAGTTTACTGTCTTTAGACATTACAGTATATCAACAATGTAGGCTCCGTGTGACTCTGTCAGCTCAGCGGTTGTTCTTCAACACAAAGAATCGGCAAGTATTAATGTAATGACTGCTTCCTTACAGGGTAAGAAACCTGGAGATACAGCACACAAATTTTGAAATCTGTAGCAGAAATTTTAAAAAATGAAATAATGTCTTTATATCCTGTATCTTGAGAATTGTAAGAACCTGAGAAACGTTTTAAACGAGAGTAGGCCTGTCCTTATTTGCTAGTTGCTAAGTGATCCAAGAATCTCATCCAGCTGCTGCTTGAAAGAATCCTGAGTGTCAGCATTTTTACTACTTACTCATTTTCGAAGCAATGTTTTACAACTTTCATCAAGTGTCATTGCTTTTTTGAAGCCTGCTAGCCCCCTGCCAGTGTCTGTTAGCTGTATCTTTTCGCCTTGTCTTCAACTGCTCTAATTTTACAGGTGCAATCAAAGGGTGTGGCTGTCTACAGGAATTAAAGTGATAAATATGTGATGCAGTATTGATTGGTATTAATGAGGAAAGTAGTGTTAAGAGAACCAAACTACATCAGAGCCTTTCACAATTCCATTTGTACTGTTTCGAGTACATCTTTCCTCATTTGCCTTGTTCTGCAGCGCAGTCATACCCTTACAGAAAAGCTGATTTCCTGGCAAAAAACATTTAGTATGAATGAGGACCAGGGCGTGTATTTTTCCCAGAAAACACATTTCCTGCTGCATTGTGCGGTTTTCCTTCATATCAGGAGAATTCCATTGTGCAGTGTCTCAATTCTCAAGTACAGAGGTAGTCAGAACTTAAGTCTGACTTTACTGCTTGAATAGGTGTAAATACCTATGTCTTTTTTATTCATTTAATCTGAAGGCTTTGTGAATTTCTTGCTCAGACGTCTTGCTGATTCCTGTTGTGCAATTCAATTCATGAACAGTAGATTTAGGAAATTACAATTTGAAGATGTGTTTTAACATTTAAGGTTCAGTCATTTTTTTTTAAAAAGAGGGAAAAAAAATAAATGTTTTTGCATATTAATTTAGTTTTGGTAACACAGAGCTCATCTGTATGTGCCTTGTGGTTTTATGATCCTTTTATTCAGATATTCACGTTCACTGATAACTGATTGATCACATTACTAGTGCACTTTACTAAATTACTAGTGCACTTTCAGGTTTCCCCAAACGCCTCGCAGAACTGTAACCTCAGAGCTTTTGTTCAGTTGTGTCATATGTTAAAAGGAAGACATGCTCTACCATGAAAGTTCAGAAATGAATTGCCCTGCATATCCTAAGTACAGACTATTGCCATGAACAAGTCCATATGGCCTCCTGTATCGGTACAGCTCTTATCAGATCACAGGCTATCTGCTGAGAAAGCAGACTAGGACAGTATTTATTGACATGGTATCATTGTGAGCCTGGTGCTGTCGGAAAGAGGAATTAAGCTTTAAATCTGCATATACTCATACAATTTCCTCCTTTCCTCTTGGAAAGGTTGGTTACCGGTAAGGATTTAATAGATGCTCCATTAAATTCTTATTTTATAAATATATTTTATTCATTAGTTAATATAAATAATTGGTCAAAAAAGCTGGTAAATATTTACTTCAAGGAAACGGGTACATTTTAAAGCCAGTCCAATATTCTCATGGCACATTGGTTTGTAACTGTAAGGAAGGGATTTTCAAACTTGGAGAATTTTTTTGAAACAAATTTTTACATTTCCCTGTAATTTTTAATTTTCTTTAATTTTAAGGTATTGCACACAGCTAGAGCTATCCAGCACATGGAGGACAATGCTGAGGCCAAGCTGAAGGAAACACATTTAATACTTCAGATGTTTTATACACCAAGGGCCTGGTCACTGAGTTACGACATTGAATGCTTTTACATAACAATATTGAGATGGGAATAAATGATCACAAGCATTTTAAGGAGTCATGCAGAATTTAAGATGGTGTTAGAAGCCATGCATAATTTAAAATCTTTTATGTAGAACAAATCGAATTGAAACAAGATTACAGGGCTTTTTGGAAACAGGTTATCTGTACTTATTCAACACAGCAGTCTGTAATGATGAGAGAAAGATCAGAAAGGCAAACTCTCCAGCTCTTAGCTACTTGTTATAAAATGCTTTCGGTTAAGAGGATGTTCCATATAGAACAATGTTGGTATTGCTCTGATTATTATTAAACATGTCGCAGGTCTATGGCATGACATTTGAAAAAGTCTCTGGACTTGAATAAGGAAGCATTTCATCATGTTCAGCTCTAAGACAATAATGGATGTCATTAGAATTCATTCAGCGGTTGTACGTTACTCTGTGTGGGGAAATGGAGGGTCTGTAACATTAGGGACCATTTTACCAGAAGTCACGTCTGAGACTCATCGATGTGTAAAGGAAGTGGGTGGGTCAGGTCTAATTTAAGAAAATGTCAATGTGTGAAACTATTTGGCACAGTGCAAGTTCACATCAGAAACCACGCGTTTTTCTCTGAGCGTAGCTTGGCAGATGATCGGATCTCAAAAGCAGGAGCTATTCTTTAATTAGTCCTTCTGACACTGTACCAGGCTGTAGTTAGCACTGTTACATCCCACTTGTTTTATACAGGCCCAAATACAGGATATGATTTTTTTTTTTTTATCTGGGAGGGGTATTGGTGTTACAGGAATACAGTGTGGAGGAGTACACTCGTAGTTCCATAGGAACTTTTTATCAGCCGTTTTTTTATAGACAAATTTGGCGAGATACTTCTCAAACTGAAACAAAAAGGGAACCCAATTGTTTAGATATACTCTGTTGACTTCCTCTTTGGGGAAATAATTTTAAATGGAATTGTTCTACACACCTGGGACTAGTAGTTTAGTTTCCCTCATTTGTCTATAATTACACAGGATAACCTTCAAAGCATTTTACTCTGGTACACATTTTATTTATTTAAAGCATTTATTAAATACGAAAACTGCGCCTAAGTGACAAAAAATGTTTAGTTGCCTTTTCTCTAGTTGCATTGGCATTCTTCAGGAGAAAATTGAATGATTTCTCTGTGTTTTCTTTGTTTCTAATAATGCACAAGTGTCCTTTAAAAGATGAAAAGACATGTAAATCCATGTATATATTTATATATGAACATGATCATATGTATACGAGTTTGATGACCTCATTCTGAAGATTTTTTAAAAGCACGTTATTTATCTAGATCATAGGTTCCTGATCCAGAGACTAATTGAGGTACCAGAGACAATCTAGGGAGTCCCAAGATAAGATGGACAATATTTTGTCCCAAAGTTAAGATTCTAAATCAATTTTCCAGTCCCTTATAAGATTCATTGTAGATCCAGCCTTGAAGTTGTTCCAGAATATTTATCATAGTAATATCAGAAATACCTTTTTGATTATTTTTAACGTCAGTGTAAGAGTGCTGGGGTGGCCCTGTTTAAAAGACTTTGATAAAAAGCTCTTAGAAAACTTGGGGGGCATCCTGTTATCCTGTTACGTGACTTATTATTGAATTACAACTACAGTAGAGAGAATTTTATAGAGCATTGTTTAGTATCTGTTTATTGAGCATTATAAATAGTTTGAATTAGATTTTAAAGTATGGGGTCCCTTTTAAAAGTCATAGCTTGAATGTGGGCTTCCATACAATCAGATGTTTTGCAGCCCCTGTTCTAAATTAATTTCACAGCATATTACAGTTTGTGCATCTTGTCACATGTTGATGTTTATCCCTCTAGCTCTGCTGTTTTGCTAATGCTCAGCAACAGTGTTCATGAGGCAAAGCAAAACAAGGTGAACAGTGCTGGATTACTGTACAATGGTGTACCGTTCTATTCTAAATTGTGCTTTTGTGAATTGTCCAAAAGCCTATGTTAGGTCTATATACTAAATTCTTTTTTTCTTAAAAATACTTTAATGGAGTCAAACATTTTTAGACATTTTCCTTTTTTTCCTTAAATATCACAAAGTATTCAAATTTAACTGGATTGATACATAATGGAATACAACACAGATTATTTTGGAGTATGTCACACTTGAAAATACATTTATTTTTACATGGAACATATGCTGTTTAAGGTTTTTATGATTTTTCCTCAGATTTAATTTTCATGACTGGTTTTATTGTATTGAATATACTGAAGGCCCTCTGGGCAATGTTACTGAGATACTACAAGACCAAGGAAAAATTAACATCTTGAATGCCAGGTACATTTGATAAAGATTTGAGGTTTTGATGTAGAGCAAATGACGGAGTTTGGCTTCCCTGTTGATATATTATCATTACAGTTGTAATTAAGGAGCTGTGCATATTTTTCTTACTGAAAATGACCACACACATTTTGCGTTTCATCTAGAGTTGATGTGATGTTTCACTCAAACAGCTGTCAGCTCACAGAAACCTGATACTACATCTAGCTCAGTTTTGAAAATCCAACCTGTTGGATACATACTAGGCACTTCCTGCTGATGATCTCTGCCGGAATGTGAAACTGCTTTTAATCTTGCTCTGGTATTCTGGCAGAGCTGCAGTTACTGGGTTAATTACTATTTATACTTGCAGTATTTATCTCTGAATAGGAAATAAATTCAGCTGCAGTATCAAACATTTCCCCTTTTCCCATTTTCTGTTTTTTTTTTTCAAATTGTTTTAGATTCCTAAAGGACGTTTACAAATTTGAGATCCTCAAAACAAATTAGAACAATGATTTTGGGAGGATTTGTAATGTTTAACATTTCGCTATACACAGTTATGTACAGAGAGCGGGGTACAGTGCAAAGACTATGAAACTATATATTAATCTTATATAAGCTTCTGTATCTTATAAGCTTCAGTTCTTTTCCTTTAATTCCATCAATCATGGAACAGACACTGAAACTAAACTGAAGTGCTGTTCTGAATAGGTCAGTGTACAGAGGGACAACTAATGGAGACAATTATGGAACGTAACTATGCACATCTTCCAACACCAATTAAAGTCTCTAAATAATCAGGGAAATTACATTTCCCCTTTTGATTGCTACTGTATATGGCCAGTTTTACTTTACCAGAGCAGTCTCAAACAGTCTTCAAACAAGCAAATGTTGGAATACCTCCTTAAAACTGTAACGAAGCACAGAAATTATACATATTCATATAGAGTATTTTCAAATAACTTATTTACATTACCAGATCTCATAATTCTGTAGTGTGGCTTTAAGCGGATGACTTTGGATGTTTTTTTTCAAAATGCAGCAAAAACTTTTATATAAAAATGTAAAAGAAAAAAACAAGCACTTTAATGTCGTTCTTATAAATGTCATATGAGCCTGTAATCTATCTTGGGTAAACACTGTTTTCAGAAATAACACACGTGGTGTGCAAAGTTCCTAATTTAAAATGTTTGTGTGACAACATTGACATTAAATGTTCCCAAGCTAACTTTTAGAAGTTCAGTTTTTTTAACATTTTTTTTCTGTTTATTATTGTAATATACTGTATCCGCCCAGTTTGCAATTGTGTGTTTCTCAAGTCTTGACTCGGTTATAAACTCTGAAACCACACAAAGGGAGCAGTAAGAAGGGCCCCCACATTTCTCCGACTGCCCAACTTTTAGCCCTTCTCTTATAAAGATGCCGCAGCCCTGCACCAGAAGCTCAGCTCTGATTGGAGGAGAGGTACATCCCTCACTGACAGAACTGCAAGCTTGCGGTTGCCTGGGAAGTCATTGTGTCGCCTGCATCTGAGAAAGTTCTGACAAACGAACCCAGTCCTACACAGACTACACAAAACCTGGTCATAATGTAGAGATCCAATGACATGACCTGCCACACCTGCATCGGATAGCTCGGCCTGCACTCGGGAAACCTCCTTTACCAGTGGAACCACTCTGGAACTCCGGCTTTCTGTTCTCTGACAGATCTTTCATGGTTGTTTTTAATTGCTGTCTTTTTTCAAGGAACATTTGCAGGTTTGAAAACTATAGTTGCAGAACACCATAGGATCTTGCCGTTTACAAAGGTTTGGTGCAGAGAACCAGTATGAACAGCCAAATTCGCATATAACCAAGCTGCCACGCCTAAACAGTTGCATAATCTACTAGTGTATCGTATGTATAGTTAAAAGACATTAGTAACCCTCCCCTGTATGATAATTAAAGTACTAATGCAAGTTAATTAAAATAACATTGATGAGCTAAAACAAACAGCAGTAATCAGCAAAAATAAACAACAAACTTCCCTCCTCTGTGTCCAGCAGATGCCTGTACTTTCTCTAGGTCCGTGACTAGCACACCCCACTGTAATGGAAAGGGCAGTAAACCTGTCACTCAGCCTCTAAACCCGTCTCCAGCTTGTCATTCCCCACGGAGCCGAGACCGCCAGGAGGGTTGGTTACAGTATAAAAACAAGAGCATGCTGAGGTGCAGGTATGGGGCAGCGAGCAGGGACAGGCTCAGTCACTGGCTAGATTCCTCTCGTGATCCTAGCCTGTTGCACAGCTAATTTGACAGTTGCAGTTAACAACCTTCGGCTCCTTTTCATCCCGCTCTGCTCCTCTTCCATACAAGATCCCGTGAGCCGGACCAAATCGCGACAAAACGAATTTGCGAGTGTTAAATTCGCAGATATCGAGACCCTGCTGTGTTTAGCTCTCTCTGTGTACCAGTTATCTTGCCCATGTCTTTACTTGATGCTGTTTTATGTAAAGATCAAAATCATAGACATTTGACAAAAAGAAAACAGTTTAACATTTGTGCAAATTGCTTTTTATTTCAGTGTGACAAGGGAATGGGGACTGCAACAGGGAAGTATAATTTTCTTCAAGAAACGGAGGCACAAAATGAAGAGGTGGTCGATTTCTGTGAAGAAATTGCAAAGTAAGCTGCATGCTACTGTATGATCTATTTTAAATTATTGTCCATCAATTCTGTAGCTGTGTAATGTGGCAAATGTGGACCAGAAGAGACAATGATTTTGCTACCATTTCCCCAAAAAATTGGAATATTTAAGTTAACAACTACATCATAATATTATTATACAAAATTAAATCAGAGAAACCATTTGGAAATAAGTGTGACATTGGCTTCAAACAAGTTTCATCTATTTTTTTTGGATAAAGCCAGATAAATTGGCAACAAAATTAATAATATATTCCCATCATTTATTTTACTGTGGCATACATTGAAGCAGTAGTAGCTGATGGCTAGTTTCCATTTTTCCAAAGATCTGTACTCCTTAGCCATAATCACAGCCTTGTACATTATTTACACACTGTTAACTGTGTTGAAATATACCAGTATTCTGTTTTCTTCAGGACTTTTACTTATTTCAAATCCACATACTTTTTTATCTCCATGTTTGCTTTTTGTCATTTTTTTCCACTTTCAGATTGAGGTCCAGATTCCCTCATGAGGATGTGACCACTAACCCGGGCTATGTTTTAAGCCCAGTGATTCTTCAGAGAGATATGAGTGGTGAAAATGCCAGTGTCAAAGTGTGCATTGAAATTGCTGACTCTGAGCAACCAGTCACTTTTACCTGTGACGGTAAGATTGGTTAACTTTTCCCCACTGTATTTGCCAAATGTTTGGCCTTTCACATATCTCAGTGCTAAGCACATATACCATATATAGGAATTTTTAAATTATTTTGATAGGCTTTCAGAATGAGAAAAACCTGAAATGTGTGGAAGTAAACATTTTTGTTCCTTATTCTAAATGTTGCTCAGTTTCATGTCTACAAACGTCTATCAAAAAGCTTATTTTTCTCTTTGTTGCTCATCACTGCCTCTTAAGTCTCACTCTACTTAGTGTTTTTTGTCCTACCATCATGTAGGATAAATGACATGACAGAATAAATCCATTGTCTTTTTTCTGTTGAAAGATCAGTCAGACTCCGTACACAAATAAGGGGTGTACATTTTTGTGACTGCTGCAGCTTTGATCTAATGTACTTAACAAAACTAACTAGAAAATCAGAAAAATATACAATCAGTTGTCCAAATGAAGCCGGTGAACAGTTTTGGGAAAAGGGAATACTTCTATTACACTTAAATTTGGGTGCTCTAAATCAATTCACCATTGTAAGGAGCTCAAATTCACTGTGCATGGGGTGGACATGACAGTATATAGCAGAAAGTGTAGCATTTATGTCAAAGGCAATAATACTTAAGCTTTACAAATCATTAGTTAGACCATTTAGATTGTTGTATTTAGTTTTGGTCATGGTACCACACAAAGGATATTATAGTCTTGGAAAAAGCTCAATGTAGAACAAGTAAACCAATTCCAAGTCTCGGTGGATTTTCCTATACAGACACCGTAAAACCTCTTCTGTCTGGAACAAAGGCGGTTGACATTTTATACAAGTTCAAGAATGTATAGAAAGGGTCAAACAAGGCTAGGTAATAAAACAATGACAGTTTGGTCACAATGGGAAAGTAAAAGGGGAGAAATGTGGGCTGGAGAATATGAAACATAGTTGTGGGTCTCTGAAAGAGGCCTCCCAGCCAGAACTCCGGCCTCTTGCGAGATTCAGCTGGATGGAGTCTAAAATTCCCCCGCATGAGCAAGATGTACCGACTGGTCTCCCGTGGAGTCTGTGGAGCCCCGATCCTCCTGAAGGAGCTATATTTGCAGCCTTCATGCTCCTTTGTTCATTCTGCAATGTCAAGCTCTGCACCACCGGCTCTGTTTTACGAGAGCAAATACTAGATTCAGTGATTTGTTGTGTAAAGTATTTCTTCAGAATTTCAAGTACCTTAGTCATAAAGATCGACAACTACAAATCCGCCTTTTCATAAACATTTTAAAACTGAAATCAGGATATTTGAACTTTTCTGTAAATGTTGTGTATAGTGTGAGGTGACGGACATTTTGTAGCTGGAGTCAGTACCTCTTGGTGAGATTGCGCATTGAACAGTTTGATCTTGCTCGTTATTTCTGAAAACAGCAAAGATGATGTTCCTATCTATTTGTCTACTTATAAACCTGTTCTAGCATTTCCTTTGATCTCCAGTTAGTGGACAGGGTTTGATGTCCATTGGCTTACTGGCCATCTTACCTTAGCCATTAAGATATAAGGTGTGTTGGTTAAGGGCATAATAATGGTGAATCCATAAAAGAGCTGATTTAACTCTTAAATAACACGATGAAAAGTTTAGAAAACAAATAGGCAGATCATAAAAAAAAATAAGCAGCATAACAGCTTGGAATATGTTACAACTTTTGGGAAGCACAGCATGTTCCTTTTTCTTATAACATGTGGTATGAAGACTTGGCAGAGTGGTGGGGCAGTGAAAAGGCTTTATGCACAATACTTCTATCCAGAAGTCAACTGAAGAAACAAAAACACACTCGTTAACACATGGTGATAAATATTCAACTAGATTTTATTCAACTACTTCATAGTTAGGGTTTGGTTGGACATTTCTTTTCATTTGCCTGAACCTTCCAAAATCTTACGGTAACGAGGCTATTGTACAGTGCTTTGTAGTCTAGTGCTGGCATGCAATGAGACCAGCTTTTGTTGTAAATAATCCAACTGTGCAGAATTTTTAGCTGGTGGATCTCTTTTATCATTAGCACTGCAGATCCTAAATAATGCATTGTGTTAGAACTGTTTAATGTCTTCTGATAAAATAACCAACCTGTTGTCAAACAAAGTCTTGTATTTTCTTGCTTAGGCTGGTATTCAGTATATGGCACAAATGCTTTTAAAATGTGTACATATTTAAAATTAATTTTCATTATTTGGTTCATTTAAAAAAATAAGCCAGACTGTTTTTATTTCCTACATGAAAAAGTACTGTTTGTGTTCCATCAGTGCAGTTTGCCCTTTGATGTACAGAGCAAGATCGTGTTCACATTCTCAGATCTGAAAAGATTGAAAGTCAAGATGAATCCTTAAATACAAAACAGTAGCCTAGTTTTATAAGCACTGATAAGTTGAATGTATTCTGATTTATTCCATTCATACTGCTGTTCACTCAACCTCGAGATCCCAGAATTCAAAATCTCTCATTGCATTTAAAAGTGCCGTGAACTTTTTAATCTTTACAGGATTTTCTGCTGGTAATGTCAGGCACCCAGTTTAAAATCTGCTGGATATGTAATCAGAAGAGCTATGTTATTAATTCCATGCATACACTGGTATGAAAGTGCACAAGGTTAGAGTGCTCTGAATGTGTTTTCATAACATGGGAGTGTTTTCTCCATGAGAGGACATGGTTCTTATTCCTTCTTAAATTCTATTAACAAATCCAAAAGGGACTGCTTCTCACCTCATTTTTGACTGTACCACAAAATTGTGTGCACTTATTCAGGAATCTCTAGTGAATTGTAATTTTGATGACAGTCCAAATTGTAGGTCATTTCTAGACATGAGGTTTTTTTTAAGGTACGAGGACAAAAAGAACTTACACCCTATAAAGATGATTTAGAATAATAATTATTTTTTTTGTATTCAAGATTGATTGCAAATAAGCAAAGGTATGAAGGGTTTTTTTTCTTAGACTAATAAGGATTCTTTCTAACTTTGCGTATGTTCCCTCAGAGTATTCTCAAGCCCCGTTTAGTCTAGGTCAAAGTAGTGTACATCATTGCTCAGGGGTCACTCAGCCAGTGCTTTGTGGGATGCTGAGTGAAAACCCTGGTCTCCTCCCAGTCTGTTCTTCACAGCATCTTCAGCTCCAGGTGTCCTTGGTTGCTAAACTGGAGTTTCTGTAGTGCTTTCTTTTGTTAAATGGTACACTGTAGTGTAGGACCCATAGGCCTTTAAATGATATGTACTGTATACCTTTAGCTGTACTTGTGAAAATGGGTTCTTTGTAATTGGGTTTTTAGGTGAAATCTGAGTTATCAAATTCAGTCGTTTTTTGCATTTTGTTCAATCTCTGCTAGACATGTACTGTAGTTTCTTTTTGGCCTTGTTCTTCATATGAGCTTTTCTGCTTGATTGCTTTACAATGGCTAAAATACCACACTGTGATAGTCCCTAAGTATTAAGCACCACCCATCATTGGAATTCAGATCTTGAAATTGAAGTCCCAGTTATAAAATTCTCTTCTGTGCCCAACATTGCAGGACCACCCGAGACATTCAACTGACATACTTCATATTGAGAATTCAGCTTACGTTCTTCAAATTGCTTGTACTGTATGTGTCCACATATCGGTCTGAGCATTCAAATGTTCCACTGATGATGTTTTATAGACCTAGGCTGATCATAGTTCCCTCCTTCATCCAGTTGGCAGAGTACATAAATATATGCTGTGCTTTTATGATACATATTGGATTTTTCTATAAGGTTTGCATGTTCCAGCCATGCTAGGAAGGGAGTGCTGTTGTTTCTGTAGTGCCTCCTTGTTCTCTGTCTCATCAGTGACCTTTTGATTGGTGATGTTTCAGTGAGTTCCCCGGTGGAGCTGCTCATAATGCAGGCCCTGTGCTGGGTCCATGATGACTTGAACCAGGTTGATATTGGCAGCTACGTGCTGAAGGTCTGCGGCCAAGAGGAAGTACTGCAAAAGTAAGTCCTATTGTTAACAACCTCCTGTCAGTTCAGCATGTTCTCAATGGGGTGAAGAAAAAAGAGAGAAGTAGAGAGAGTGAGTGAGAGAGAGAAAAATGTAAACAAGATGACTGCCAACATTCCAGACAGAGGAATATTTTCTTAAGTGGGGCTAGGAAAATATGTTTCTCTTTTGTCCTTTCATAATACCCAACACAACCTGGCAGGGCAAGAAAAAAGGAGCAAATGTTTTTGTAGCTAATAAAGAGCAGAAGGCAAACGTAAGGCACAGACCTTCCTCAAAAGGCTCTTCCCTTCATGCTCATCCTGTTTTGAGTTAATGCTTTGTAAACGCTTTCAGATAGTTGCCTGGTCAGATTTCTATTCCTGTGTGCATTGCAGGAAACGTCCATCTCTTTCATTTTGATCCAGTGCTGCTCCCTAACGTTGCTCAAGCAGTGTTTTCTTTCTGCAGAGAACATAAAGTCGTGAGTCATGAATTTCTGCAGATGCAATTTTGTTTCCTGCTCTACAGAATTAAGGAGCTCCCATTTTTCACAGCATGAAAAAATACATAGTGGCCCAGCTCCTTTTTCCTGTTAAATATTTTTTTTCTGTCCCTCTCCAGTAAACATTGCCTGGGCAGTCACGAATATATTCAGAACTGTCGAAAATGGGATACCGAGATTAAGCTGCAGCTCTTGTCTCAGAGCACTGTATGCAGGGATCTTGCTCGTACGGTAAGCAGCATATTATCTTGTGTGCTTGTGTTAAGTCTCAGCACGGTAAATAAGAATCATCTGCATGTAGAGTTGTATCTTAGATTCTTTTCGAGCTTGACAGATGTAGCTATTTGAGTAAAATGTCCTAAAAGATAGCTTTGGGAACAAAGGTGCTATCTGTGCTAGCACAAATATCAGAGCAAAAACAAAAAGTGTATATGTGGAAAAGAGAAAACGTTTCTCTTGTGTGCACAAGCAGGCTGAAGATGATACTTCCCCCATTGATTTGGAAAAATACCTGTGCCAGGTGGAAAGGCCTTTTAAGGAGATGATCACAAGGTAAATCTGAGCTTGTTTTACATCCTGTTGTCACATTCAATTCAAATCCAAGTGTTTTTACGGTACTCTGATTCATGGTGATTTCTAATGTTTTTTTTAGACAATGCCTTATTGACTACTTGGACGCTTACCATAGTTCGGTTCAGGTCTGCCTCCAGAATGAAGTAAGCACTCTGATATTGCAAATCTGTCACATACATATTCTCTTGTCTCAAGAAAAGGCCCCAGGGAAGGAATTTTAATGTCAGTATATTTCCACCATTTAGAAAAATAGGAGTACATAAAATGGTATATATTTTAGGTACATAATAATAATTCCTTACACTTATATAGTGCTTTAGTGGTGAATTTCCACCACCACCAATGTGTAGCCCCCACCTTGATGATGAGACAGCAGCCAAAATGTGCCAGAACACTCACCACACATTAGCTATCCGTGAGGAAGAGAACAGAGTAATGAAGCCAATTAATAGATGGGGATTATTATGAGGCCAGGATTGGTAAAAGCCAATGAGAAGTTGGGACAGGACACTGGGGTAACATCTGTACATTTTTTAGAAACACCCTGGTATTTTGAATGACCACAGAGAGTCAGGACCTCTGTTTTACATCTCATCCAGAGGACGGCCCCTTTTATAGTATAGTGTCCCCATCACTGTACTGAGGCATTAAGACTCACACAGACCACAGGGTGAGTGCGCCTCTTCCTCGTCCCTAGCTCTCCCCAGTGGTCTCCCAGCCAGGTACTGGTCAGGCTCACACTGTGGTTTGCCAGTTGTGAGTTGTACGGTGATATAGCTGCTGTTTAAACATAGATACTACATCACCAATGAAATTCTATATTCTGTAACTCAGCTCCCATTAATGTTCCCATTAGAATAACCAGTACAAAACGGTGGAGCAATTGATGAACACTGTGAAGACCCTGTGCTGTGTGTTATATGAAGTAGAGACAAAGGCCGTCACGGACGCAGTGAAGAAAGTGAAGCGCTCTGTTAATCTCCCGAGAACCAAAAACCCGGAGGTAATCCTGACTTCGTATTTCAATGAATCTGTGGCAAGTCACTCACATGCTTGCTCTAGGGTATAGTCTCCTGCCCTGCAAAGTTATTATTGGACTTAAATGTGTCTCTTTTCTCCTAATGAGTTGGATTACAGAACTGCAGAAATGAAAGCCCAATGGAGCTTCAGTTGGCAGACCTTTACAGTACTATACAAATGTAATTTGTTGATTCTGTGGTTATTCAATTGACGTATCTCATGCTCATAAAAATGTGGCCAAAGTTTTTATTGGGCTTTACACTTAAAATTTTTAATGATCACTTGCTGATGAAAATTAACTTGATTTTTGTGTGCTTATAACTGATGTTTTATTTCACAGGGCACTACAAAATCTTCAGATGGTTCAGCAAACAGTAAGTAAAACGTCTGTGCAATCCTTGTTGAGATGTACTTTAGTCAAATAGTCCAGAAAAAGAACAAAAAAAGATTGAGTGCTTTATCAAGCATAGCTAGGCTGCATTGCACATTTTCTTATTTACAATGTATTTGTTTTCAGGTTCCTGCAGCCCTGTTGAGGAGAGTATAAACGGACTAACAAGTGCAGTGTATAGCCTTGTGCAGCTGTACCTCAAGTCATTCAGCAGCGCAGTCTCACAGGCCCCTGTGAATAGGCAGAAAGAGGCCAGAAGCACAAAAGAAGCCTCTGGGACCACAGAGCATATCCAGTTTACACTGTTTGCAGTTCATGGCATTACAGCAGCATGGGTCAGCAGGTATGTTCTTTAATAGGCAGCAGAATGACTGGGGGTTGGGCAGGTTTATCTGGAAGCTTGAAATTATTTAGCCTTCGGGGACGATATTGGTTAAGTGCCTGCACTATCTTGTAAACAAGGTCTATGGAATTCATGTACTGTAATTCCTGCATGTGATTTCTGGTCTTAGACTTTGGTCTGACCCGGAAATATTGGCTGGGATTCCCAAGTCCGCTGCACCTGTCGGGTTTCCCCAAAGGCACATTTGCTCTCTCGTTTGCTTTATCTAGTTAAAAATAAGCAAGTGTTGGATGTTTTCCAGAAAGCAAGATAACTTTCTTGCACTTAAGGTCGAAGCAACTGCTTTGTGTTTAAACCCTTACTATATTAAAAAGCCAAAAACACATACTGTACCTACTGGAAAAAAACATTGTTACTGTTAAATTTCACAATGACCTTTTTTTCCTGAACACAGTGCAGTAATATACCTGTTTAAGTCCGGCCTTAAAAAGTAGGATATTTTTTCAATTTAGATATCTTGATTTTGGCAGTGAACAGTTTATTTCCTTAATTATCTGTCCCATTATTAAAAATATTGCCATGTAATTAGTTGACTCACTGAAAATGAAAATTATTATGTCACAAACCAGATGTACTATGTGAAACTACAGCTGTAGTGCTAGAAAGCTGTTTTTCTGGAGATTCATGGTAGCGAAGCTCTCCAAGTCTTTAGGGAGGATTTTTAAATAGTCCTATAATATGCTTTAGCTGTGATAAGCAGTTAAATAATACTCTCATACTAAATGTGTTGCTTTTAGTGTTATTGTATGTTACAATTTCATCATGACAGTATCCAATAATGAGGGATAATCATGATTGTGAAAAGGGATTCAAGTTTACACAGTACCGTTTGGCCTCCTGACTTTCTGTTCTTTATGTAGATAAAACAATGGGAGCAGTGACTCAGGTTCACAACTGAAAATGTTTTTTTAATGTTCTCGTGCATTCAAGATACAAACCCAAATGGTTTTGTTTTCTTAAATGTCATACTTGCTAAACCATGAACACATTTTGGGCCATTGTATTTCAGGGACATAAAAACAAACACCCTGAGGAGAATGAACTAATATTTTATAAATGGTAGCTTGTGAGACTTAACTGCCTGAGGATTTTTCTTTCTACTGTGCTGGGCCAACCAGAGTTTATAAACTGAACGTGAACTGGTTAAAAATAGCAGCTTTCTGCCTGTAGCACGTGACCCTCAAGCTTTATCTCCATTCTGTCTGTGACCTCTAGGTTATCTGAATTCTGAATTAATACGTGAAACAAAGCAGCACTCAAGAAATATTATAGGTTTTAAAAAATATGCAGTGCTCCACTCTTTTGTTATTGTTTTCTTAAAGATGCCTTTTTTAATTTGTGATTACCAGTTGTTTTTTTCTGTTTTCTACCCTCTCAATTTGGATTTATCAGTCAGTTTGGTTTATTGCTGTGCCCCCCTGTACTACTATTAGACGGGAGACTTCCCTGGTACGCTTAAGCTGTCAAACATCCGTGATTTCATTTTTCACAAGCTCCTCAGGGCTTGGAGGGGTAGCAGGGGCAGTGCGTCTCACAGACGTCACGGCAGCTTAGCAAGTGTCCAGCAAGTCCCAGGAATCGGTGATGCTTGACCAAAGTGTGCCATTGCTTGGGGTTTGACACAGGCTAGGAGTCCAGGAGTGCCTGTGTATTTGCAGGTCTGTTTAAAGAAGCAGAACCTGAACTGCTTGGAGAAGTTTTTAAGCGCGTTACCAGCTAGCTTTGTGTGTTAAGAGCCTAACTAGAATGAAGATCTGCAGACAGTGGCCCTCCATTACTATGATTGGACACCTGGAGAGTGTCCAGGCAAACCAGGAAAGTCCACAATATGTTTTAACCACCATTTCAAGTTAGCACTTTTATTAGTAAAGCAACTTAAGATAAGATCACTTTATTAGCCATATACAATTTCTTGCATTAGGATTTTGTGTTTTCCCATACCCCAACTTGCTCTCCATGAGACATACAGACAGGGAGAGAAGCTTGGGGTCAGAGCGCAGGGTCAGCCATTTATACGGTGCCCCTGGAGCAGTTGGGGTTTAGGGCCTTCCTCAGGGGCCCAACAGAGTAGGATTCCTCTACCGGCTGTGGGATTTGAACCGGCAACCTTCCAGCCACAGGCGCAGATCCTGAGCCACAGAGCCACTGCTCCACCCTTACTTGAACATGATAAGAATTTTTTAAATGAATTTAAAACTATTGTAACAAGGTTTCTAACAACATCCTGTCATTTGTTTTGTTTTAATTCAGTGCTTATTCCTGTAGTCATGGCTATTGCAAGAGAAAGCTGACAATGTTTTTCCATCATGCTTCTTTTTTTGGGGTGACCACTTACCAGGAGAATTTTTTAAAAGCCTTTAGCATCGTGTGCAAACTTCATTGAAGTTTGTTTATTATGCTAAGCAAGTTTCATTCACGTTCAAAATAAAGAATGCTGTAAAAAAAACAAATTTAAACCTAACTGAAGATTTTTATAAGTTCAGTATTTACACCTGATTAGACCTTTAAAGAAGTGCCTTTTTAATTCTCTTCACCAAAGCATGTGTATGCTTGGTAAAGTTGTTTACCCATGCCAGAGATTTCTTCACATAAAAGTGCACCATTCACTGGATGTAGTCAACCTCACTGTCAACTCTTTGGTTCTAGTTTTGAGAAGTACTACATACTGTGTTCTCTGACCCATAATGGAAGGAATTTATTTAAACCAGTCCAATCCAAGAAAGTTGGAACATACAGGAATTTCTTTTACAACATTAAATGGGAAGAACTGTAAGTATTTTAATCTGTTACATCATTTTTACATAATTAAATGTTGAAAACGAATCTCTGCTACAAAGTTAAGCATTTGTTTCTAAAAAGGTGGTTTCATTTGTGTGTAAAACCACTTTTACTAATTGATGTTTGATCAAGGATTTAGAATATTAGAATTAGAGTATTCTTAATTTCAGATTGTGAAAATACCTACTGTTGCACTTGGCTTCTCAATTTATATATTTTAACATGAATGCAAAGCGGTAAAAATATAGGAATCCACAAATTTTGTAATCCACCAGAATTACTGGTTTGAGTTCATCCACCATTAGCTCAAACCAGTAATCCTGCCTTTTCCCAAATCCATTTCTCTCATTTTTAAGTCCTTTTGTCTTTATTCTTTTGCAGGATACAGTTTCCTATCTCAGTTGCGCTCTTGCCTTTAGAGTCAATGTTAAGCCTGTCTTTGTATGGAATCCTAAACCAGAATGCAAGCAACTCGCCCGATTCCAACAAACAGAGAAAGGGACCAGAGCTTCTCGGGAAAGTGACCATGCCACTCTTTGACTTTCGGGGGTAATTTCTATGCATCTTTGTGTTATCCATTGTTTGTTTGTGTGAAAGATGCTCATCTTGGTAAATATTACAGGTGTCTTAGAGGTTTCCCAGTTTTTAATATTATTGCCTAATATCTAATTACGACACTCAGGTGTTTATTTCTTTTAAGTGTACATGGTGGGGCCTATTGTTTCAGTGCCGCCTTTAATTTTTTCTTCCCATTTTAGGGAAAAAAAGTGTTGTTTTTAGTTTACAGTGATAGCAAGTTTTCCTCTCCTTTAGTTCACACTGCATAGAAGAAAAATGCCACCAGGGTAGCTTAATACGTTTGCAAACAGAATGTTTAGAAGGCAGTTTCTTCATCTTTTAAACTTCTCCTAGGTTGCCATTCCTAAAAAAAGGCACTGCCTTGGTCCTAAAAGATTGCTATTGTATGTGTGAATTGCATTGGTTTTAAAATAGAAGTTGGATGTTGATTCTGAGTATAAAAACAGTATGAAAGCACACTGAAATTAAGGTTTGCTTTCTTTTTTTCAGCGACACATGCTCCTAAAAGTTCATGCATGGGCGTATTTCCACTGTTCATCAATCTACACTTTCTTACCTTCAGCATTATTGGTTTTCCTGCTAAAATTACTATACCAGTTGTTTTAAATTGTGTCCTTGCTTCATGCTGACAGTTGTCCGTTTTTTGTTTCGTATCGCTCTTGTGTTTCAGAGTGCTGGCAAGTGGAACTAAGCTTCTCAGTCTGTGGACGTCTACAGTGGTCGCCCCAGCTGCTACAGGGAATAGGAAAGGGAATGCAATCGATAGAACAGTGCTGCAGGTAATCACAGGCTGTCTCCCTGTCCTTGTTCTTGTTCCAAGAACTGTCATCATTATCACCGTCATTAAGCTGAGAACAAAGTTTCCATTTCATTGGAAAGCCTTCCAAAGACTTTTTGGCTTGGTTAATTATCTCTTAATTGATCCTGTGTGTGTGTCCTGTGATGGCCTGGCATCCTGGCCAGTGTTGTTTATGCGCTATGCTTCCAAGATAGGCTTCACCTTGTCGCAGCCCCGACCAGGAATAAGTGGCTTTTCTGGAAATGGCTGGATGTTCCAGCATAAAATAAAAGGATGTGAACATTTTGCCTGTCCTGTCTTGCCATATTGATGTTAAAGCGCGTTAGGAAAAAGCTGTGTAAAGAAAGTTATACCATGTTTTGGATTTGCTTCTTAGATTAAATGAATGACACCTTTGGTTTAGAATTTGTTCCTCTACTTCTTTGCTTTGCTCTACCCATTTCTGGATAACAGTGGCTGTTTCTTTTCTCCAGGTTGATTTCCCGAGTCCTGCTGTTGACATTCTGTATGTTGGGCCACAGCCTCCCAGCAGACCTGACCCACAGGCCTTGGAAACCCTAGATCCTGAGGTTACAGCACGACTTGAAAAACTGTGCAGCAAAGCTTCTACATTTGGGTGAGTGTTCATTCCTGTCTTCCTGAAGTGCTGGGATTATTACACACTACCTTTTTACTGTTTTTGTAGAGAGTTGTTTTTTTTAAATGGTTATCTTTGTACTTGCACGAGGGGTGATAAAGACTCTACTCTTTCTGGTGACACTCTCTCTGTTATTCGTTTTACACATTGCAAGTTCCATAGTACCATCTGAGAAATTTGGAAATTATGTTGCATCTCTCCCTGTCATACAACTGCAATCCCAAGTCTTGCTGAGAACTTACAGTGGGTTATTGTTACATGACAAGCTGAGGATACAATGGTTGATTCAAGTCTATCATCCCCAGCACTGGTCTTTCACATGGGAAATCACTGTTACAGTTGGCTAATGACACACCAACACAAGGCTCAAACTGCCAATGTCTGGACTACGAGGCTCAAACGAGCTTTTCTGAGTCAGCCACTTGGGAGCAAATGGAGTGTTCTTTTCTCGTCTTCAAAGTCATTTGCCAAAGTAGACATAATGAAAACAGATTTCATAACACACTTCAATAGTGTAATTATGGGAAAAGATAAGGGAGAAAAGGGCTTTCTAATCTAAATAGTATTTTAATGTATGTATAGTTCTGTTACAGTAAAGCATAAGAGGAACTTATCAAACTGTGTAATATAGGAAAAAAAAGTATCTTCATCTTTCTGTGGTTAGGATTGCCAAAATAAAACAAAAAGTAAACGAAGCAAAAAGTGTTCAGCTGAAATAAAAGACACCAGTAATGAAATATGTTCTGATTTGCTGGTTGCAGTGGCTGGTACAGTGCCTACTTCAAGCAGAAAAAACTGCTTGAATAGTCACAGGTAAGAGTGTTGAAATTCTAGTGAAAGATGAGTCACACTTTAATTTCACTTAAACGTCATTGTCAGGGTATTGGGCACAAATCCATCAGCCTGGTTTGTTTCCATGGTCAGCTTGTGTTTTGTGTTACTGCTGAATACCCACAAATGAAAATCATCCCATGCTTAATTATATAGCTTATATGATCAAGTTTAAACAGAGGGTGTTAGATTTATCTTAGCTCTAAAACATTATTGCATATGTATAGTATGACAAACATAAATTCAATGAGCAGATCAGTTTCCTTCTGTTCTAAGATGTTTTACTGTTTCTCAACGTAAATGTCGTGGAGATCCTTAAGTGAGCAGCACAAATCCTTATCCCATTGTGACCTACAGATATTGTAGCTGCAAATTCCCTTCTCAAGATTTGCTTCGGATGAGAACATGACTAAGTGTATATGTCCAGGATGCCTTTTCACACTTATATATATTTCTGACTTTTCAGAACTTATGTATCTAATAACCTCTTACAGTATGAGCACTTCCATTTGGGCAAAGCATAGGCATACTACACTGCTGATTTGAACACTATGCATGGCATGTCTCAACAGGCTCACCAGGGCTGACAGGCAGCTCTTGTGGGACAAACGACATCACTGCCAGACCTACGAGAACAGCCTACCAAAGATCCTGGCGAGTGCACCCAGCTGGGACTGGGGAAGCATGGTCGAAATACACTCCCTCTTGCACCACTGGCCCCCACTGTCGTCTGTCTGCGCCTTGGAGCTGCTGGACTCTAAGTAAGTCAAAGAGATGCAAGACGCTGCTGCCATTTGCGGAGTGTATTACAATTTCTGGACAAGTGATCAGATCAAGTCAAAATTTACATTGTTTTTTTTATTTCACTTTGCAGCCACAGTATAAGTGGACAAGAATATTGATTCCACCTTGCACTTCAAATATAAGACATGGCCCATTTGCCCTTTAACCAAGCAATGGTTTAAGACATTGTTTTGGGTCATGCCATACATTTAATTAACTAATTTTAACAAACATATTTGAGTGTGAAAATAAAAACATATTATCTCTGGTTTCTCAGATTGCGGCAGGTTTTCGATAATATGAGTTAAGCGTTGTGATGTCATCTCTGTATCAAAATGAGAAAGGTTACGCAAAGGAGAGGAAGCCATTTGACCTATCTAGCCCATAGGGTAGTTTAGTTTTTATTTGATCCAAGGATCCAGCCATTTCTTGGAAGAATCTACAGTCTCCAAGGACATAACAGGTTTGGAACAGAACAGTGGCCCCCATCTTTGGCAGCAAGTGCAAATCCAGTGTTCTGTGAGAAAATGTTCTTTTAGGTTTGCAGATACAGAGGTGCGCAGAATGGCTGTGAACTGGATAGAGAGCAGCAGTGATGATGAACTGGCCGACTATCTTCCACAGCTGGTGCAGGTAATTCAGGCTCGAACCTCCTCAATTTACTGTACACTGAAGAGGTCGCATCTCCATTGCAGACGTGTAAACTGCTTCCTGGAGATTAAGCTCAAGCAGGGCCTCTTTCCCTGTCCCCTTGTCCCCGCTTAGAAACTATGCTGTTAGCAGAAGAAGTTTTTCGCCAAGCTGTCTCCTGAACTGAAGGCTGAAGGCTGTTACCCTTAGTGGGTCTTAAACTAATAGATTTAGTTATTAACCTCTTCCCACATCTTCTTTTAAGAGCCTCTCAATTAATAAGAATTGGCTGTGCCCTCTTGATTGCGGTCACTGGTAGAAATCCAACCCATTGTGATTCTGAGACTACGCTTTCACCAGACCATCTTAAACCTTCCATAGTGCTACTTCAGCATGGCTTGCCCTGCAGTCAGCCTACCACAATATTTAAAAACCTATAATATCCCTAATTTTAACCTTGATTTAAAACCTCATAATTATTTCACACAGCCTGTCTGGGTAAAACTGGTCTTCAAAGATGTATGGTCTTCAGTCATTCGGAGCTGAACAAATGTTTAAGAATCCAGATATTGACTTTGTAGAGAAAGTCGTTTAACTTGCAAGATACAACTACATTTTTCCATAAGTTTCAAGTTTTATTTTGCATTATTCATCTGGCACTCTACGATTTCCAGTCATGTTGAAAGATCTTAATAGCTGTTTTTATCCCCCTGTAGGCCTTAAAATTTGAGTGTCACTTGAAGAATGCCTTGTTAATGTGTCTGCTGTCTCGAGCACAAGGAAATGTTAATATTGCTCATTACCTCTACTGGTGAGTTATTTCTTATTTAATATTTCTGATTCTCGAAAACAACAACACCAAAAAACAATCTTTTAGAAAAGAGGTAATCATTTTTGTCTCACTTGTCGAAAACATTTTTTTTGGCTTGGCAGAAAGTAGCATAATTTTTGGTAACACAGAGACGTGGAAACATTTTCACAGCCATTCTGTATTGATGTTGTATTAATATTGAAAAGTCATTATTGATCTGCAAAGCATGGTCTTTCCCTTAGAATTTCAATGAAAAGACTGGATTAAAATGGGAATTCGCTTAAACCCTCCTTCTTCTTAATCTCAAAGATTTGTGGCACAGCTTCATGGATAGACAAAAATCTCTGTGTTCGAATTTATAGAAAACACTTGTGTGTTCCGTCACACGATCGAATGTTGTTGCTGGTTTTTCCTGAGGCAAAGTGTCAGTGTGTCAGTGTTGCGGACGTTTGCAGGCTCCTGAAGAACGCGGTGCAAGACCCACCCTTCGGCTCTTGCTACGAGAACGCACTGGGGGCCCTGCTGTGCCTGTGTGGCCGAGGGCTGAGGGACGAGCTGGACAAGCAGACGCAGCTGGTGCAGCTCCTGGCCGTGGTGGCAGAGAAGGTGCGACAGGCCAGCGGGTCTGCGAGACAGGTGAGTACAGCTCCCAGGTGCTCCTGCTGTGTCGGTGTTGCTGTAAGGAGAGGGGGGATCCTGCAGCTCTGGACATGGCTTCATGGCTCCACAAAGAAAACGGAGCCTCAGCCAGTATCCTGCTTGTCTAGGTAATAATAGGACTGCTGCTTATTCGAGAAAAAGTACAAAATTTCACCAGAACAAACTGACTGGCTTCTTAGGTTTCGCAGGTGGAGCTTCATGTTTTCACTGCGGCTCGGATCCCAGATCCTCAAATGTTAAATTGCCCTTCCTTTTGAAAATAACAGTCTGGGTTTATCTATTCACAGGGTAAAGATAGATGGCCTATTCAAATAACTTTATCATGAAAACTGCACAAGGAACTAAAGAAAATGGTTACACTTGCTTTGGTGAACACGTGCCTGTGAGCAAACACTTGCAAGCCATTGTAGATACAGGTGGTGGTCACATTGAGCCATTCTTGTGCCTTTTGGTGTATATACTGTACTGCCATTCTTCACAGTGCTTTTTGTTTATAAGTATCCTGTAATTTAATTTGAATGGGTTTGGGGGTGACTAGTTGTATTAAGGCATGTTGGTTTATTGTGGTTTTAGGCTGTTCTTCAGGAAGGCATGGAAAGAGTACAGTTGTTTTTCTCAAGGAATAAGTGCCGCCTGCCCCTCAGTCCCAGCCTGGTGGCTAAGGAGCTCAACATCAAGGTAGTCTGTCCTTGTGCTTCCGGTCAGGTGTTTGCAGTGCACTTCTTGAGCTCTTCAGCTCTTCAGGTGCTGCTGATTTAAAATATCCTCTACAAGCCTGCCTACTTGCCAGCATGCAGAAACCAGAATTAGACCGCCATGCTTGAAAATATTGATCAATCAAAGTCTTTTGGTCATTGAATTTATTGTACATGACTATTGGCGAGTCCATTTTTTAAAGTTTAGATTCGAAGCTGAATATATTGAGAAGAACTGAAAATGTTGGTTTTGAAGAGAGTGGAAAACAAAACCCCAAATGTTTTCTTGTATACTTTTGAAAGTAAACTTGCAAATCCCTTTTCTTGTTGTTCTTTTTTATGCTGGGAAGTTTATTAAGTGTTAAACTACAGCTTGGAGGATTTGGTTTCATCTGACAAGCGGTTGTGTCATGAGTCAGTATTTTATCTTCTTTCGATTTGAACAGTTTACATAATATATTGTTTTGACTACATAAACAACAAAGTCGCTTTCTATGTCTATGTTAATGTTCTCTGAAACGAATTGATTTTTGAGTGAAATCTGGCATCCCTCTGTAGATGTAAATTTCTGTTTATAAATAGAGGAAAACGATGAACTAATGTTGATTTATTTCTATGTGAACAGGCGTGCTCTTTCTTCAACTCTAATGCAGTCCCTCTGAAAATAGCCCTCACGAACAATGATCCTCTAGGAGAAGAAATCAATGTAATGTTTAAGGTAAGAACACATTTAAATGGAATTGAAATTCAGCCCTAAAGCACATTTAGACCTGTTAGTTGTATAGCATACCTTACGTAAGTGGTTGTTCAAGGTGGTAAAATAGTTTTCAGTGTTTTTACAGAAGTAAAAACTAACATGAAATTAACAACAAGTTCGGTATTCTTAAAGTTTTTTGTATTGAAATAACTTCATTATGTGTTCTTCAAGAATGGTTTCAAAAAGATGAGCTTGTTCAGTTAATTGAATTGCCAGTGTGAGGTTTTTATTTAATTAGCTCTTAATTATCCATGAGCTAAGTAAACATGATCCAATGCATGCATAGCACACTGGAGAAGAGTTCTGCTGTACTAGAGTTCCTGATCCTTAGCCTGTGTATAAATAAGGCTTGCTGTTGTCTAGTTGTGCTTTGCTGTAGTGTTTGTTTGCTCACAGGCTCTCTCTGCTGGGAGGAATGGGAAATTGTAACATTAGGCTTTTTTCATATTTTTTCACCCCAATTACAATATGATAGCTATTAAAATGACATGTTAATACACTAGTATCTTTATACTAACAAAGAAGGTATTTAAAAAATATCAAGTATTTCTTATCTTCCTGTATCATTTTCTCGCACTGACTAGAAAATAACTGACTATTTGCTTTACTGAGTCTAGATGCTTCCTGGCTAACTTGGGACGTAGGTAAACTTTTTTAAATGCCTCATTACCCCCTTTGATCCATGAGGTAAATTGACCGTGGTTGTTATATCACAGCCAATCCCTTATCTACCGTCCCTTTTCCTGTCTGTTTCACCAGGTGTCTGTATACTTGTTACACACATTTAAAAAACCCATGTTAGGTTATTAGGGGGTCTCCTGGATTGACAGGCTCTCTTCTTTCCCTCAGGTAGGCGAAGACCTCCGGCAGGACATGCTGGCCCTCCAGATGATCAAGATCATGGACAAGATATGGCTGCAGGAGGGCCTGGATCTCCGGATCGTTAACTTTAAATGCATTTCCACCGGCAAAGACCGAGGTACGACCTCAGAGAAGGTTGTTTGCGAAGCCTCTTAAGGTGTGACGGCCTCCGTAAAACATGGACCGAACCCAGTTTTTCCTGGTTTCTCTCTGAGCGAGTCGCCTGCCTTCATTGCGGTGTGCTTTGCCGTCTCGTCCTGAAGGCATGGTGGAGCTGGTCCCGGCGTCGGACACGCTGCGGAAGATCCAGGTGGAGTATGGGGTGACGGGGTCCTTCAAGGACAAGCCCCTGGCGGAGTGGCTGCGCAAGTACAACCCTTCAGAGGAAGAGTACGAGAAGGTAGAGAGACAGCCAGCATCCCTCACATGAAGCCATCAAGCAAAGCAGCTGCTTATTCTGAAGACCCACCTCTCATTAAAATAAAGATCTTCTCATGAGTTGGCAGCAGGAGATGACTGCTAGTGAATTAAAATGTTCTACTTAGTGATTCTTTCACCAGACCATTATAGATGCATTTGAAATACTTCACTTAAATTATCTTTAAATATTAGAAATGTATTCCCATTAGGTTCGAGGATATTTTATTTATATGTGACATCTTATTTACTTTAGTAGTTCAGGTGGGTATCTGCGTCAGCATGAGTAGACTGCAAAGGAACAAGTAATAGGTTTATTCTATGCTGAAAAAAAGAAGAAAGAAAACACAACGTTTCGGCCGTGGAGCCTTCTTCAGGTGTGCTCACACCTGACGAAGGCTCCACGGCCGAAACGTTGTTTTCTATCTTATTTACTGTCACACATCTTGGACTCCATTGAGGTGCTGGGCTTCTGCTGCCAGCTGTAAAAATGGAACAGAGACTGAGCTGTACAGTAAAAGCCTAAAGGAAGCTGACGTGTTAGAGAGACGTACTGTATAACAGAGGAGCTATAAACACCCCCCCCCTCTTTTCCCAAGGCATCAGAAAATTTCATCTACTCGTGCGCCGGCTGCTGTGTGGCGACGTATGTGCTGGGGATCTGTGACCGTCATAATGACAACATCATGCTCCGCTCCACGGGACACATGTTCCACATTGATTTTGGGAAGTTTCTGGGACACGCACAAATGTTTGGAAGTTTTAAAAGGTATTGTCTATGCCTGTTGTTATAACCTCCACGTGACGCGTTCTTCCCACCCTGCACGTATCCGGTCTCCGGGACTGACTCCGCTCTCTCCTCCGCTGGCTTCCAGAGACCGCGCCCCCTTCGTGCTGACCTCCGACATGGCCTATGTCATCAATGGTGGAGAGAAGCCCACCAGTCGCTTCCAGCTCTTTGTGGATCTCTGTTCACAGGCCTACAACCTGATCCGCAAGCATGCCAGCCTATTTCTCAACCTGCTCTCTTTGGTAAGAACAAAAGCCAGTCGTATTGCAATTCACTTATTCACTTATGTAAAATGAGGTCTCCATGGACATGTGCACAGTGATGGAACCTGGAGCGTTTGGCCTAATTTAGATTAATTAAAGTTTTTTAAACAGTCTTAATCAGTAGATGGCTTTAAAAATGACATCCCTCAGCACACAAATGTGGGGCATTAGCAGTGGCATTTTGTCTTGTGTTGATAAGCGTTTATGTGATGGATGTCACTGTTTTCTTCTCACCTCCCACAGCTCCCATTTTAACTCCCAGATGACTTTAGTGAAAGATCACATTATTCAAGGAAGCCTGATTCACTCTGTCTAATTTGATGCAATTGCTTGTTTTCTGTTGCTTGATCAGCTGCCAATTGTAATTTCCTGAGATATTTTAAAAACCTGTTCATGCAACACATCCACATGACTAATAGACTGGTGTTTTTACACTTTTGTTTAACTGTTTCTAATTAGCACTAAATTTGTATAATTCTAAAGCAATTCTTGTTGCCCATATGTGTTCATTTTTCTTTATTTCTATTATTGTCAGATGACATCATCTGGATTGCCAGAGCTGACTGGTGCTCAGGACCTGAAATATGTCTATGATGCTTTGCAGCCTCAAACTACAGATGCCGAGGCCACTGTCTTCTTTACTAGGTACTTCTCTACTCACATTTCTGATTGTAGCTCTTATAAATCTGCAAAGATAGGATGACAGCATGTACATGTGTCTTTTTAATAGGTAACATCTTATTCCATATACACTAGCTCATATATTAGTTCTGATTATGATTTCTATAACCATGCATTAATTGTGACAATTGGTGGTCTACAATTAATTGGTTTGTGTTTTATTGTGTTTTTTTAAATGGGAGCTTTGTATTGCACTGCCCTTGTCTTGAGTGATTGCTAGAAGAGTTTGGTGAATGGCCATTTCCTCACAGCGCTCTTGAAGTTCCATTTCCACCTGTTTTCTTTGCTTTGCAGTTGCTATATTGGATTGCACCTGGCAATTGGCTTGATTTTACTTGGCATTAAACAGCATCCCCTCTCATGCACAGCACTGATCTGGTAATGGTTTGCGTTCACTGCTAGGTTGATCGAGTCGAGCCTGGGAAGTGTGGCCACCAAGTTTAACTTCTTCATTCACAACCTGGCGCAGCTGCGATTCTCCGGCCTGCCGTCCACCGACGAGCCCATCCTGTCTTTCTCACCCAAGACCTACACGCTGAAGCAGGATGGCCGAGTCCGAGAAGCGTCCATTTTCACTTTTCAGAAGAGATACAACCCCGAGAAGCACTATGTGAGTGCAGCTGCTAGCGTTAAACAGCTGGAAACGAGAGCCTTAAACTGACTTTCACAATCCATTCTGTTTGCTGATGAGTTTACAATAATACGTACAGCATGTGAGGGAAGTACTCGGATTTTTTAAAAATGATTCCCATGCGTCTTCATTTGGATCTTCGGTCTGTTATAAACCTGTGATGTTGTCCTCACAGTTTCTTTCTGCTTGGTTTTTTTTGGTAGACCTATGTGGTGAGGGTTCTTAGGGAAGCGCAGAGTGAAGCCCAATTTGTCTTCCGCACCTTTGACGAGTTCCAGGAGCTGCACAACAAGCTGACCATCCTCTTTCCACTGTGGAAGCTGCCAGGGTACTTGACTCTCTCTCCTGTTTCAGAAGCCTCTGGGACGTGTGTGAACAGGCCTCCAGCTGAAGTGAACCCCATTCTGTTTTCATACGCAGGTTTCCCAACAAGATGGTGCTTGGAAGGACCCATATAAAGGACGTAGCAGCCAAAAGAAAAGTGGAGCTGAACAGCTATGTTCACAGCCTGATGAGATGCTCCACAGACGTGTCAGAGGTAACCTTCCAAGTTTGCAAAGGCTTTAAGTAGCATCTTTAAATGCATCATTCTCAAAGTGTTTTAAGACAATCAGTTATAGTCAAAAAGGGCTGGAGAGTAACCAGTTACGATTGTTGATGACAAGAGGTTGTAAAGTGATTCCCTTGCTGTTTCTGCTTTGTTTCTTCAGTGTGATCTGGTTTACACATTCTTCCACCCAATGGCGCGGGATGACAAGGCTGAGGGATTTGAGGCCGCATCCAAACCTTCCGGTGAGGTCTTACGAATGTTCCAGTTCAAGACGGGTTTCAGCCGCCGTTTAAGTGGATGTTTAAGTCAAATTAGAAAATATTTTATCTGAAGTAAATCTACAACATAAAAATCTGAGGTGTGCATTTGTCTGCTTTTTGAAATCGCAGATTCATTGAAAATGAGTATCATCATGTTTTATAAACAGCTTAAAACTTCATAGCCCTAATTGAGGAGTATGTTAAGACTAGCCATAGTTGGTTTTAATAGCTCCATTTTTGTCATAGCTAAATGTTCAAATGTATTTGTTTCCTCTAAATGCCCTTAATATACATCTTTATAATGAAACTATAACCTCATTAATAAAAAAACAACAAAAAAAATACACATAGCATTTAAAATCCAAAATTAATTTTTACTTTTCTCTTCTTGAAATGTCATGGTACTAAAGGTACAGAATGTATTGTATTCTGTAAATTAACCACTTTTATATTTCACACCTTTAATGCATTCTCTGCTTTTGAGTGAAATGAGAAAAAAAACAGTGAAATGTATTCTTCCAGAGTTTAGCATGTTGATGGAACATCTTAACTGAGAAAAAATTGAAAGTTATTGGCACCAAATCAGAGTCAGGTTTACCTTTGTAAGAACTCTCTTCTCTGTCTGATTGCTCACTTTTTGTAGAAGTGACTCCAGCGAGCCCAACTTCAGGAAAAGTTGAAGGAGAAGTGAAATTATCCATCTCCTACAGGAACAGCACCCTCTTCATTATGGTCATGCACATTAAAGACCTGGTAAATAAAAACAAGAAAGAAGGCATGACTCCACGCATTAATGCTAACTCACGCCTGATTCTCTGGACAAATACAAAATGTCCTGTTTGTAACTGATCTTGCAGGTGACAGATGATGGAACGGATCCAAACCCATATGTGAAAACGTACTTGCTTCCAGACACACATAAAACATCCAAACGTAAAACGAAGATTTCAAGGAAAACGAGAAACCCCACATTCAATGAAATGGTGAGTCTGAATGAATGTTGTGATGAATGTTGTGTCTTTACTGACTTTGATATTCTGTCAAACCAGAATGAAACTCATAAATCACAGCATTACAGAATTTGATTAGATACATTTTTTTAATTTTCATCTACTGTGATTTAGATCTTAGAATTTAGCAAGAATAATGATATTTTTGTTTTTTTAAATAAAAATATAACGATAAAATCTTAATCTTATTCTTAACATCAGCCACTGGAACATACTAAGGTTCTGGTCAAAGCACAATTCACCTAATGATACCCCCAGTAGATCATACTTATACATATATTTGTATACCAATCAATTCACAATTGCATAATCCATAGCTATCATTAGTGAATTAGTGAATACATTTCTCATTAATCAATTACGAAAAAGTGGATATAACAAACCCCAAAGTTGTATAACACATCATATAAGAATTAGGAGTATAAGCCAAATCCATCTAGTGCCACAAAAGGATTGTATTCTAAATTGTGAAAAACCCAACCATTAAGTGTAATCCGCAGGTAAAGCAACAATCACGTTTTTGTTAACATAATAAATAAGAAAACAATTCAGTCTGTTCATTTAAGCTGTGAGGCAATTCTGGGTGATGGATCCTACAACGCTGTACTAGCGATCAATCTAAATGAACTCTCTCTCGTTAAGTTTTTTGATGCAGGGAATTGTACTGCTCTATGTTTTAGTTTGAGAAACAGATGCTGTCCTGTTTAATTTAAAATAATGTGATCCCTGGATCCATTGCTGTCTCCTCTGATTAAACAGCATCCTCTGTGATAGAGACCGCTGGCTTGTCTGATGGTGCAGGTTGTCCGTTCTGTTCTGCAGCTGGTGTACAACGGCTACAGCAAGGACACGCTGAAGCAGAGGGAGCTGCAGCTGAGCGTGCTGAGCGCCGAGTCGCTGAGAGAGAATTACTTCCTTGGAGGCATCACTTTGACCTTGAAAGACTTCGACTTGAGCAAAGAGACTGTTCATTGGTACAAGCTCACTGCTGTCCCTTACTTTTAGATTCAACACACACAGTTCTCCACAGATGTGACACACTTATTTATATATACAGTATATATGTATAGGGAACCTTTCTGACTTCTCATTTAGAACATTTCTTTATTTTAAAAACACAATCCATTATTCCTAAGATATGGAAACCTGTAATGTTTTTGTAAATTTAACATTAGAGGACCAAACTGCATTAGAAAAAGATAGACATATATATTGTTAAGATGTTCATTTTTATGTTACTTTTTCTATTAAACACTTTATTACAGATCCCCCAAGACCTCAGTATTGATCGCTGAGCCCTTATGAAGCTCCTAAGCTTTGTTGTGTTATTGCTGTCCATTATGTCTTTCCTGTCTTGAAGCAGGAGAGCAGTTCTGCATGTGGTGAGCCTGAATGTCCAGAGTAATGTGCCAAACTAATTAGGACACTTTTGGAAAGTAACAGTGTGCCTTGTTGAAATTGCTACAATTATAAGTACTGTACCCATCTGGGACTAGATATATATTTTTAAAGTAGAGTTATCCCAATAAAACACTTATTATATAAAATAGTTTCAAATGTATTATATCTACTGGATGAATTGCAAAAATCTGGGCTTCCTAATATTCATATCATGTATTATTCATACACCTGGATTGTTTTTTCATTCACTATTCTATTAAGTTTTCTTACACTCATGGTAATCTCTGTGATTGTCATTGCTGAATTTTAGCAAGAAAAGGATGATAGCACTGACCACTGGTGCGAGATAAGGTGTACACGATTCCTGTGTTTAGGGCTACAGAGTGCCTGGGGTTACTGGCTGGCTAGTGCAGTGCTCAGTCAGTGTGTCAGAGGAATTATGTTTTGGCATAGTATAACATTTTAGTTCATGTGAAATGAAAGGTCTGAATATAGTAGAGATTGTACATTAAAAAGTAAAGGAATTACACTTAAATAAACTTTTTCATATGCAGCCATGTTTTAATATTTGGATCAGTCTTTGAGTATATTAAAATGAAAAAAACTTTCAGACATTTATATTGAAAATAACTCATAATGAAATGCAAATAGATGTGTGAACCATAATATTCCTGTGCTCAATATTGACCAGAAACAGAGAGATTTTATGATACAAAATCAAAGCAAATTTATTGAAATTGCCTCCACACAAGGCCGAGCCTTTCCATATCGTTTGCATTTGTAAGCTCACAAAATGAATATGGAATGAATTGCTACTTGGATATACAGAACCTCAATTTCATTGCACAGAATGTCCTCAATGCATTTCTGGGTGTTTCAAATATGGTGTTATAAATCCTGAGGGAGCACCCATGTGTTTTGTTTTTTTTTTCCTGAATTTACTGCAAGAACAAAAACTATCCATTGTAAGAGGGAGAAGCAACAGTGATAAAAGACAAATCGGCAGTTTGCTTTGTGGAAAGCAGGCGTCTGGCCTCAGCCGTATCACGCAAACTTCAGGTCAAGCTGTGGCCTTGAAAAGAATCGAGTTAACCATAGCAGCCCTGCCTCTTCATATGAGCACAGATTTACTTTTGTTTCGGAAAGTAACTGAAATAAGCTTCATTGTATTTGTTAGATCAAATATTTCAGCACAGACAAATGTGCTATTGAAAACAATAGGATGGGGGCATTTTGTCACATGAGCAAATTGAATTGCACAAACCATTCCCTACTATATTCATAGGCTATAATGTATTCTTCTGCTGGCTCCTGAATTTAATTCTCTCTCAAATAATATATAGACCAATACATGGTATTGAATTGGTTAATATTAAATCAAAGCTCTGGCCCAACAGCCATTTGGAAATTCCAGACCCAACACCCAATGGACACCTAGATTGAGTAGAGGGTACGACCTTTTGATATTGTGCTGGCAAGCAATACATTTGGAACATTTTGTTGCCTATTGAATTGAAACTAATATAAACCAAGAAATGTTCTAATTTTCCTCAGATTAGAATGACTTTTCAAAATCATGTTAACCTACTTGTTTACCTACTTACCTACTTGTTTTGATATTTTACAAAGTGGCATGGTGAACAGAAGCCAAGACTGTTGAAAAATGAATTCTATTGACTGACTGCTCTTACTAAATTATTATGTCTGCCTGTTGTATAATACCCAGAGATCAGAACAGTAAGGAGGAAAAATATTACAAAACCATAAAGGACAATATATTAAACATTTTGAATTATTTAATTTCTTTTCTGCCATTGTCTAATTCCTCTTAATTTCCTAGAAATGTTAGGATTAGGTTTTTGTGGAACTGAAGTGAGTCTGGCACAATCCATTTCCGTAAGCCTGGTTACTACACTGTAAAATCCATACACAAAGGTGTTTATAAACAGACTTAAAGGCATTTCATCTCCAGATGTAAAGAAGAATCTGCGGCAGATTTTGAAATGACATCTAGAGAACAAAAGAAAACTTGATGTTTTCTTTCTGATGCATGTGTGTTTGGCATGGTACTACAAGTGTGCATCCTCTTGAGGTATACGTGTTCATCATGGTATTGAATTGGTAAATATTAAATCAAAGCTCTGGCCCAACAGCCATTTGGAAATTCCAGACCCAACACCCAATGGACGCCTAGATTGAGTAGAGGGTACAACCTTTTGATAATGTGCCGGCAAGCAATACATTTGGAACATTTTGTTGCCTATTGAATTGAAACTAATATAAGCCAAGAAATGTTCTACTTTTCCTCAGATTAGAATGACTTTTCAAAATCATGTTAACCTACTTGTTTACCTACTTACCTACTTGTTTTGATATTTTACAAAGTGGCAGGTGAACAGAAGCCAAGTTTACATTTAAAATTTGATCACTGAAAAATACTTTTGATGTTAATTACATTAGCACCATTTTAATGTCTGTACTTGACAAAGCATGGGTTGTGTAAAAATAGAAAAGTGATTCGTTTTTAATATTTTAATATTTTGCTCCATTTGCTCTTATGATGTGTTTGCTCCTCTTTAAAAGACTCAAAGACTATTATAATTGAAACACTACTGTGAGTTTCATTAAATAAAGCCCTATGGGATATTGTTTAAAGGACTTTTCATGTCCTAAACTGTTCATAAACCCTAATAATTTCCCTTTATTTCACATTTAACCTGCAGTTTTCAGCTCTTTGGAAAGTGGGAGAAGCTCTCCTGATGCTTCCTGTAAACATTTTATTTTCTCTGGGGCGCTTTTATAAAATTCACACTGTAAAGAAGTTATTTGTAATTAAAACAACCGTCAGACAAGTAGTACATCACTGTCCCTTCATCATCTATGGAAAACATTCCTTCAGCTGTGTCTATGAGAATATTTTAGTGGTTAAGAGCAATAATTAGTTGGTCATCTAATATGTATTGTTTGTTTTTGTCTGAGTCAGTAATTAAAAAAACAGTACATTTGATCGGTTTTGAATAATAGGCCAACTGCACATAACTAGCCTTTGCTTCCCAAATTAAAATGATGTCCGCTATTAACAGTATCCATTTGTGCTGTGAAATAAAATATGCACTTAAATGCATTCTCTTTTTTATTTGCTTACACAGTCTTACCTGTAGTTATGTTGCTTTTTCTTCAAATGTTGTGGTTTGGAAGTGAGCTCAAAGTTTCCAATGGCCTTTTCTTTTTTGCCTTAAAATGCTCTTTTCCAATTCTCAACAGCTCCGACTAGCCTTTCGGTTAAGTGCAAAGCAGTTGGAAAGTAGGAATGCTGTACTGAATAATGTATTATAGTTTTAATCGTGATGTTCAGTTGTGCTGTATATTAAGTTTTTATTCTGTGAAATCTGACTCCTACTGAATGCATGTAAATGTTTGTAGAACATAAGGCACACTAGGGAACAAAACTTTCCCTTAAATGTGTGTGTGAGCTTTTTTTAGGCTCTGCATTTTGAGATTTGATGAAGATGTACAGTATTTCTGTTAAAACTGTAGTCCACATACTAATGGACTAAATGTTTTTCTGTTCTAATATTTTTTTTTTAATAAACCTTTTTTTTCCAGAATGGTGGTGTTTTAATTGGATCTCACAGAAAGAGCTTTCACACTATGGGCTTTTTTAAAAGCCTTCTCAAACACCCATTTTATATACAAAAAAACTCAAATTTTGAGTCAGAATTAGTAAAGGTGTATTGAAAATGGGAGACAAGGTGGCAGGTATACAAATAAGAAATACAATGTCATTTGGGGAAACAAACATTTGAAATCTTTATTAAAAAAACAGTGCTTGCACAGAGCACTTTTGTCAGTTTTAATACAAGTCTTAAAGGTCATAAATATGATTGCAAGAAACCTTATACATCGTGTCATTTTAGACATGGAAATCGCATTGTTAGCGTCCAGGTACTCCTCGTGATGCCATTACTATGCACAGAGGGACCTACCGAAGCTATAATTCAAATATCCTCTAAACCCCTCCAAATAAACAACACCTAAGGAAAAATAATACTGGAAGTACTTGAGTATGTATTTAACATGGCGTTAGTAGGAAGCTAACAGCCAGTTTGGGCACCAAATGCAGTTAGGCGACTTTGTTTCTTAACTTCAGAGTGAGTTACTCCTCTCCAGCCTCTAGCGAGTTAAGAGGTTTCCGTCTTACGTCGTACGCACCCTTACGTCCTGGTCTGCTTCTACGTCACTTCCTACGCAGGCCCTGATGTGCTCGGCGCCTCGCGGTGTTTTCTCTCTCTCTTCTAGATCGCCATCATGGGTCGTATGCACGCTCCTGGGTAAGCTGGCCTTTCCCTCTGTAAAAGTGGGATGTTAACTGCTTAACCTGAACATTTTTTCTTAAAGAACGCCTTTAAAGTGCCTTGCGCCAAATTAGAGTGAATTTTGGGGTAGAAACAGCCGTTAGGAGGTAAAAAGTAGTGTTTTTAAAAAAGCCCCGGTGTGCCACCTTTCCATTCAGTATGGCCGCGTGCGGGCTCGTCTCCAGTTTTTGCCTCGTTTAACAAAATCCAGAAGTAGAGTCCGGCTGAAAGTCAAAATAATCCATTTGGATTTAAATCTTGTAACTGACGTGCAGATATGTTAATAATTTAAGTTTGCAGAAGCACCCCATCTTCCGGTTATGTCGCCCGTGTAACTCAATGTCCTCTAAGAAATGAAGTGTAGGCCTCTTGGCGTTTTGTGAAATTTCACATCGGTTTTATTGTTGATCGATTAATATAAATGGAGTAATATTAAGATGATCAAACGTGCTTCTTTGCATTTCTTTCCACATATTTAGGTCGTGTCACGTAGTGGTGTTGAGGCTTGTTGGGTTAACAGTATGTAGCCCACATGTGGATTTGGATAGATCGGCCCGTCTCTGCACACGCAGACGTTCATGGCTGTTATGGCCAGAGTTTTACTTTTTCTTCCTGGTCACTACTGTACGTTCATACAAAAATCATGGAGGAAATATACGTGGTGGTTGACATATTCGGTCTCTGCTCTGACGAAGTGAAACCCATTTGTCATGTTGCTGCATAGATGACCTGGAAGAGACGTGCTGCTGTGTTAGCCTAGAAATGTTTTAAAATAAGAGCTGGCTTTGTGTTTGTTTCAGAAAGGGCCTGTCCCAGTCGGCGCTGCCCTACAGACGCAGTGTGCCCACAGTGAGTACATAATGTATTTGCCTTAAGTGCAGCTGCGGTTTGCCTTGCACATTGGAACTTAATTTGCAACTGTACTTGTTCTTTCATAGTGGCTGAAACTGACGTCTGATGATGTTAAAGAACAGATCTACAAGTTGGCCAAGAAGGGCCTGACTCCCTCTCAGATTGGTGAGTTTTATGTTGACATGATGGCATCAGCAGGATTTTAGTGCTTGGACTTTGGGGAGATGTTTCAGAACCTTCTAGGTGATGTACTTAAACCAAAGCCCAAACCCTGATCTTTAGAGATTGTTCAGATTGAATAGCTGTTTTATATAGCATTTGTCTTTAGATGTAATGATTTTACATGCTGTAGGTTGCTTTAAGTTATTCTATCAAGATGTAAAGGTGCAAACTCTTCAAACTCCCTTTGTAAACCCTGGTAGATCAAGCGTGATATCAGGAGGTGAATCAGCCTTATTCCATATCCTGCTCCAGGTGTAATCCTGAGGGACTCCCATGGTGTTGCCCAGGTGCGTTTTGTCACTGGCAACAAGATTCTGAGAATCCTGAAGTCTAAGGGCCTTGCCCCTGACCTGCCCGAGGATCTGTACCACCTGATCAAGAAGGCCGTCGCCGTGAGGAAGCACTTGGAAAGGAACAGAAAGGTGAAGCTCTCCTTTTGACTCTACAAAAGTACTTGTGCATTATGGGGCCCATTACTGTCAAGTTCAAATGTGTTCAATTCAAAGTGGATATGCTCATTGTTTCATTTTAGCTGTTTTGTGTAAATGATATTCAGGAGGCTGATGACTGCATTTTTGTTGGTTTTATTTATAGCCTTGGGTTAATTATAAGTTAGATGTCTAATTCTATTTTGCAACACAAACCGTGAAGCAAACTCAGTCTGTTACAGTAGGCTATCCTAATAGCTGCATTACTCTGCTCTGAATATTACTATACATAAACTTGCAAAATAAACAGTATTCAAGAAAATACATTAATTTGAATCTAACATATACTGGGAATGTTAAGTTATTGTGAATACACATTTCAAGTTAGAAAATTACATGGAGAAGTCTCTTCAAGCAGTTATTATGTAATGCATATTTGTTTAGTCATACCTGACTATGTAATACTATAGAGCAGGATGTAGATCTGTTCTTTAACATAGATCCAAGTATGTTTTCTGTCCAGGTTAAATTAGCATTTGTGTAGCATTTCTCACCTCCTTTGCACTGAAGACATTTTTGCCTTGAGTTTTAATTAGTTCAGTAATGTTTTTATTTGGGGGGTGTAGTGTTAAAGGGCCCCCTCTTATGGAAAATTTTGAATTCTAAATATTGGTAGTGGCTGAGACTTTTAGATCTGGGCTTTCATTCAGCATCTGATCCTTTTTTTTAAATTTGCAGAAAATCTTCTTTAAAATTAACAACTGCTTATTAAAAGGATCTGTAAATCCTGCTGGTTTCTGTGCCTAGGTGACTAGGTTTGCCCATCCTGTTCTATAGTATTATACAGTCAGATGTGACTACATATAAATATACATCACATAATAACTGCTTGAAGAGACTTCTACATGTAATTTTCTGACTTGGAATATTTCTAAATGCAAAATGTATGTACAGAATAAAAAAGCTGTAATATCCCAGATACGAAAAAGTGAAGGGGCATGAACACAGGTAATTTAGTAAAACCTGTCTTAGCAGACATGTTGGTAGCAAATTAACCTTTAAATCTGGCTCCTTTTGATTGTGACTTTTGACAAATTTGATCTCTTCCCATCACAAGAAATTCTAGGTGATTTATTCTAATTAGTAGAGGTGTTTGTTTTAATCCCTGTTGACTGATAGAAGGCAGTTGTTCAGTGTTTTGCACTGATATAAGATGCACATAATATAGAATATAGCACCTGGCTTTAAGATCTACAAAAAAGTGGGCATTACTGTAGTAAAACATCTTATTGCATTCTGCATGAAAATACTGAATAATGCATAGAGGAGAATTCATTTGCTTGCATGTAAATGCAAGCAAATGATCTATGAAAAGCTCATGTTTAGTATGATCTGCATGTCAGCCTTAAAATGATTTACATCATAACTCATTAAAAATCTATATTGAATTCACTGTAGGTTTTCCTGATGTGACCCAAATCTGAGATTTTACTGTGTTCAAAATGAATGCTGAATGTGAATGTCATGTAGCTGAGAATTTCTCTGAATAACCCCTCAGTTTCCCTTTATTTTTGTGAAGACTTCGTTGATATTTAACTTGGTGTTTTTAATAGCCTCTTAAAAGACTAGGAACTGATTGTGAATGATATAGTAGCATTTCTCATTCTGAAATCTTTTCAGCTTTCTTTAGTTTTTCAAACATTTAACAATTCTGTATTTATATAGGACAAGGATGCTAAATTCCGTCTGATTCTCATCGAGAGCAGAATCCACAGACTTGCCCGTTACTACAAGACCAAGAGAGTACTCCCACCCAACTGGAAGTAGTATGTTACTTTTTTATATATATAAAAATTCTGTTTTGCGTTTGTAAGGTTAGTGTGATTTAGCATTGCATCTCATAACAATATGACCTTGAAAATTAGCTGTAGGAGAGGCAACTTGAATAAACTTGAGCTAAGTGGCATAGTGTAGTAAGTCCTATTGTAATGAAGCTAAAAATAGTGCCCCTAAATGATAGGGTGTTTTTATAACAATGTTTCTGGAGACCATAGCATACAGCTGTGAGTTCCTTTTGAATTTCATTGATTCCTAAACCTCATTCGATTGATCCCTTACAATAAACCTATAGAAGTCTGTTCTGAGACTTCACAAATGTTAGCCAATTTTCTGTGGTAATCATCACTTAGATGTCTTTCAGAATTGACATCAGTGAGATGTTCTCTTAAGGTTTAAATTGTCCATACGCTGCAACAAACTCATTTTGTTTTTCTTCATCCACAGCGAATCCTCCACAGCATCAGCCCTTGTCGCATAAGTCTCATCACCTGTTGGACAAATAAATGGTGTTTCACTCTGATTGAAAACATGCGTTTTTTCTTGACTTAACTATAAAATTCCATTCGTGAAAACCTATAATTTTGGCAATACCAAATCTGCAAATTTGTGCTTGCATGGTGGAACTTCATGGATGTCTTGGTTGTTGAAGTTTAAGGTTTTTATTCCCCCAAAATGATGTATTTGACATGAGCACATGGTCTTGTAATACCCAAGTTACTGACGGGAAGATCTGGTTTTTAATGCTGTCGCAAAACTGAATACCTGAACTTGCTTTGATACTGGTCCTTAATCAACTTCAATACATTTAACTTGAAAAAAATGTATTGTATTAATGGGTAAGTTTGTAGTTGCTCATAATGCACAATATAGCTATGGGTTACCTTATAAATATGTAAGGCAAGCTCCAGTTCACAGAAGTTAAGTTGTATATTCACTTAAAAAGTAATTGGGCATCACTGGGGAAGAAGATTAAGGTCCTGGGTGAAGCACTGCTGCTGTACCACTGTACAAGGTTATTTTGTCCACATTACTCGAGTTCTGTAAGTCACCGTGCATCTCGGTGTTGGCCATAATAATATCAACATAATGAGAATAATAGGAAAGCCAAAGAAATATGGCAGGAGTGACTAACATTTTCCAAGTTTGCTTTAGTCTATAAGGGTAATATTTAGTATTCTTGTCAGTGGGGCTATATGAAATGAATTCAGGTGTATTGAATATGATTTCAAAGTAAATGGTGATGAGTGTAAAAACTGAACTTACTGAAGAAAGACCATTTCTTTCAGTAAGTAGTTTTCAATGTAAAGGTACTTTGCTCATTCCCAGTGGGATAATTGTAAGATTTTTAAATGTTAATTCGGTTATAAATATTAGATTAAATATTTAGATATACACAATATTGACTGAATTGTCTTGAGACATGATTCAGTTAACCACTTAAACAGGTTGATTTGTTTTTGTACGCAAGTACAGGGACATGAGCTACCAGTCTTTATCTGCTCACCATTCAGATTTTTTCAGTCTTTACAATAGGGGTATATGAGGTTTTGGAGCCCCAGGTTTGCATCTCTGCCACTTAATTGAACTTGGTTTGAAAGGTGAAATTTGCATAAGTGGGCGTTTTCAAGTTTCTGAAAGGTTGCAGAATTCGGCAGTTGTACAGTTCATGTCAAATCTCGCATGAAACACAGATTTCGAAACAGGAATAGCTGGCTATTAAATAAGATCAGCTCATTTAAGGTTCAATTAACAGTTCTTTAAAATAAACTACCAGATTGCTGGAGAAGCCGTGCTTTACAGGTTTTATGTGCTAGAATACTTTAAAAAAATTGACAATTTCTCCCATAAATACAAGCGATTATGTAAGGAACTCATAACTACTTGGATCTGCTGTGAAATTCGATAACCCAATTATTATCAACGTGTTGTTTTAATTACTGTTCAACATGTTGAGGGTATTTCAGTTTTTTTACAGACTCAAATTATCACTTGTCCTGGACCTATGAATCTGGTTTTGCAAGCCTAGCTTCTCCCAATTCAAAGTCAACAATACTGTCTTCTAAACAAAAGCAGGAAATAAGTCAACGGGTCTGGCTTATTTTCAGCAGCATTATTAATACTTGCCACTTTTGGTGTGGACATTTAATGACCCCTTACGTAATGTTGCACAAGGAAATGTCGGGATGTTTCCATGTAAACTTGCTGTTTAAAGAAATACAAAACCTAGCGTCACACGTCACGCCTCAGACATGGGGCCCTGGAGAGGCAAAACCAACATGAGTGACAACAAACTCGGCTTATCGGCATGAACCTCGCTGCCTGCTTCATCCACTGTGTGCGCTTCTGCTGGGTGTTTCTCCCAGCTCGGCTGCCTAATTTGGTCAGACACTTCCCCCTCGGAAAAAAAAAAACAATCTATCGTAACTGGGTATCATTTTCGCTCTGAGTTCAGTGAAGGGAAGAGACAGTTCGTAGAAAGAAACATGGAGAAAGCAGACCTGCGTCGAAGCGCGTTGTAAAACAGTCGTTTAGTCTCGTTTCTGTGACCCCACCACCTCGGAGTCGTGAAAATGAGGGTTTTATTTGTCCAGACCCTTAAGATCGCGAAGAAGAACGAAGCAGTTGTTGGAGAAGTTGGAAACTGGAATACAAGTGAATGTTCCGGAGACTTCAATCGCTAAAAATACCTCCAAGAGACATGGATCCTCCGAACCCGTCCCGGGTCCAGAAGGCGATGGAGCGGTTCGGGGGGACCGGAGTCCTGGCGGTGCCGTGGACGTGGCCCATCTGGACTATACTGTTTGAACACCTCAGGTTCTTGGTTCAGGTGGTTTGCTGTACCTTCTGGACAGGTAAGGGCAGACACGTTTATTTTTAATGAAGGGGAATTACAACAGTGGGGGACGGAACACACAGTTCATCTGACAGTGTGTCACCGTAAACCACCTCGTTATTTCCACGGGTTTTCTTCAACCGCATGACGGAATGATGCCGTTTCGGCTACTGGTTTTCATCCTGTGTTCTTGCAAAAAGCATCTGTGCTTCATAAGGTTCAGGGATTTATGAAGTGACTTGACCTCTTCAAATAGCAGGTACCCTTTTCGAAACGCGCTGCCCCTCTTTGAAGCATCTTTGTTTTTTTGAATGGAAGCCTCGTTTTGCTGATTTATTCAGGGACCGATTTCAAATGCAAACAGGGGGGTTAAAGTCTTGACACCTAGAGGCTAATGAAACCGCGAGTTGAAGTCAGTCACTGTAGCGAGTAAATGTCTGGAAAAATGAAAGACTTCTCAAGTTTTTCCAATTGAAAGGTCTCCTTGGGAGCGTCATTATTTTAATTTGCGATGTATAAGGAGGATTGCGTAAAAAAATAAAGTGTGTAAGAAGTACAAGAAGGACAAGAAGTTGAAATGTTGTGCCATTTAAACATTAATGAAACCATACCCGTTTTAACATGAACCCTAAACCAATGTAGCTAAGGACAAACACGTTCTAATTGTTTTTCTTTGCGTTGTTTTTTCTCTTTGTTTTTCGATTCGACATTGCAGTTTTCCAGATGTGCCGACTCGAAGTGCACTTGAGGATTACGGATGAGACGGGGCACCATGTCCAGCACATGGGCGCCGGAGGAAATGCTGGCCCGTCCTTCATCATCTCCTCTCTGCTGGACAGCAACAGCAGAGTCGTCGTCTCCGGGTCGAACCACGTAGCCCTGCGCGGCGCGACCGCCTGCGCTGGAAACTCCGAGGCGGGCTCCTTGATTTCAAGCCTGCAGGCCGAAGACATCTGCCGCAGCTTCGTGGACGACTTCGTCTTGCGAGCCGCGGAGTGCTTTGCCGACTCGGTCCCGTCTGACGGCGCCATCCCTTTGCCACCACATTCCCGCCTGGACAACCTCGCTGGCCATTGCAAAGCGTTTCTGCCACCGGAGAGGGAGAGCGGCGAGGAGGTGTACCCCGAGAGCGTAACAGAAGAGCCCCTGACACCCTTTCCCTCTCCTGTCGTTGTGGGAAACCAGGACGATTCTTTCTGGGATGATGATGATGATGATGATGATGATGGCGAAGATGCTGAGGACAGCCAAGTGCTATGGGAGTCCTTTACAAAACTGGACGACCCCTACAACCTGCTCTGCTTCTCGGCTTGCATTTCAAGCCGCTCTCCGGAGGACAGTTTGAAGTCGCCCCCTACGAAGGCGGCAGAGGCGCTTGATGCCAAAAGTGAAAGCAGCTCCTCTGGCAGCGACACCGAAGAGCTCCGAAAGACGAAGATCACAGAGCGACGCCAGGCCCTTGGCCGCTCCTGCCAGGACAGCGGAAGCGACTGGGAGTGCTCCAGTGAGGACGACGAAGGGGACCCGGAGGAAAATCAGAAACTATGGGAGTCGTTTGCTAAATCCTCGGACCCTTACAATCCTCTGCGCTTTACAGCTCGTGCTGGGAATTCGAGCCCAAAGACTGCTCTGTGTGGGGAGAAGAAGCACTCAGATTCAGAGGAAGAAGGCGAACATGACAGCCCAACTTTCGGTCTGGACACGAAGGAAAAAAAGCCCTGTGATGAGCTGTCCTGTAATTTGAAGGAAAGCGACGACCTCTGGAACTCCTTTTCACAAAGCACTGACCCCTACCACCCTTTACATTTCCGAGCTTGTCTAAAAACCTCTCCCCCCTGCAAGCAAAGTCCCCGAGGTGAAACTAGCGCTTCACATGTTTCACAGCAGGTCGACCGCTCAAAGCCAGAACTGCCAAAAAGACAGTTTAAGCATTACTGTCCCGCAAGAATATCTGACAGCCCCCAGCGTGCCGTCTGGAAGAAGCCGTCATGCGTGAACACTCTAGATGTGGAAAAGACAGGCAGAAACACTGAAAAGAAGGTTAATATTGTGCTATTTCTGTTCTTCACCACTGGAATTTTTAGTAAGAGTATTCAGCATATTTTATGCTAGATACAGAAAGCACAGGCCTTTAAGCCTCACCATGAAGGTGATAGTGTTTCTATGCATAATATTTGAGTGCTGTGAATACAAAACAGGGTTGCTGGTACACAGGTACCTCTGCTTGATCTTCCCACTTCTCAGCCAGCCAATTTAAACATTCTGTAGGGGTGTTCTAGAGGAGATTATGAACTACTAAAACACTTTAATTTCAGTCATACCAGTGCATTGTGCAGTGAATCCCGATGGTGTCTGAAATACTTTCACGAAAGCTCACGTCAGACACAGTCCCAGTTCATTCTGGCCCTGATCTATGCAGTTTTTCTGCTTGGGCGAGAAACTGTCACAAATGGATGAGTTGCATGTGACTGTGAAGTTACCAGTCTCCCAGAAAAGCTCTGAGTCATGCTTAGCTCTGCGCTCTGGCATGGTCAGAAATTCCGGATGACTCTTTGTCTGTCTGGACCCTTTGAGCTTTGGGTCTGGCTCTTGAACTGTGGTCTGAAACCTAGGAGAGACATGTGACTCCAATTCATATTTAGAATGATCACAGGAAGTCTGTTTTTTTAGAGACGAGATAAGAGAAGGAGGAACAAAGTCACACAGAACCCAAATTGAGAACAGACACTGTGTCATGACACTTCCCATCTGATACCGAAGCTCAATGTGTTTCTTTGTTTCAGGTGTCGTTCTCTCCGGTTGTGCAGGTCCATGTCATGCACGCTTGGTCGTTTGCTCTGCGGGCTGCGCGGAGAGGACCCTGGGAGGAGATGGCCCGCGACAGAGCCAGGTTTCGCCGCCGAATTGAGGAGACGGAGAAAGCTATTGGGCACTGCCTCAGCACGGCGCACAGGGAGAAGATTCTGGCCTCTTTACAAAGCACAGCCAGCAAAAACACTCCACCAGCAGCTATGACCTGAATTGAAAATCCAAACCGGCCTGACTAGTTTGCACATTATAAATTTATTGCACTGATTACTTTTCTAATTTAACTTATTTGGATAATGTACAGTTTTGGACTTCTGTGCTTCCAGGAACATAGAATGTGCATTTAGTCAAGAGAACAAACTTTGCCATCGACTTCTATTTTGGCATTTTAATACCTCTGTTTGAATGTTCTATGAACAATATTTTTGTAGATTGTAAAGGTTTTTTTTAAAAAAACTTATATTTTGAGTTGCATGTTTGAAATCTGTAGCATTATATTAAAAAATCTTTTTAAATTTGCTATGCCATTGTCTGTATCAATAAAGTCCAGTTTTTTGGTGATGAAATGATCAGTAGTGATTTATGTACGTCTGATTAAAATGCCATCCTTATTAAGAGTAGACTAATGCTAATCAGTAGTACAGATGACCTTGCAAATCGGCCTGCGTCACTTAGAGTTCAGCATTTGACGTTTTCAAAATACATTCCTAAACTATTTACGATGTTGAACATTCAATTGTATAATGCATACAGTTATTAGATGATGCAAAAACCAGTGACTGTTTGCAGCTGTTGTTGGCAAATGCAGATTGTGGTCTTCATTTTTTTGGGTTCCAAAATCATGTCACTTTTCAGTCAGGTTTTAATTCAATGTTTTTTTCACACCTCTGGAGAGGCATGTGAGCAAACACAGGGGGTCACAGAACTAGGACTAACCTGCCCCTCTCAGAAATCACATTGGATTTGTCTTTCAGAGGGTCCTGCCCTGTTCCAAAACTCCTCACAATGCACCGTATTTCACCCTTCAAACATTCGCTTCCATCTTTCTGTGGCAGTGTGCTATCTGTGGTTCTGTGACCTTGAGTCTAATCTGAACAGAAAGCATCTGCAGACCAACCCGTTACAAACGGCCTCCCATGGTCTGGAGTCAAGCTGCCCAACATCGTCTCCCAGCTGTCTTGTGTTTGGGGTCAGATTACCTACAGGTGATGGAAATCAATTGCTCTGCCAGGTAAGGAAAAGTCTGCAGCATTATACACGCTTGCTGTTATTTCTGTACTTATAAAGTATTTGTTAGTAAATACACCTTTACTACAGTGCCTTTCTCTCTTGAGTGTTTTGAAATGAATCTCAAATGAAATGATTTAATTCATCTTGTGTCCATCCCTGGTTCTTGTGATCATACTGTTGGCTTGTTGCTGTTACTTAATTGATATCTCAATTGAACTGATTTGGTTGATTAGGCCTTTTCCATGGCTTTCCACAGTTTAAAAAGTTTAGAGGTTTCCAAATCACTATAAATGTAATATTTATTAAGAAATGTTAAAAAGTATCATTTTTACAAATACTCAGTGCAGTTAACGGCTCAATTAGATAAAAGAGTTCAGCTGGACCAATACATGATTCTGGGATAACCAGGACCCCTATACAGTCTAGGAATAGGAAGATGTAATAAGTAATAATAATTTCTTGAAGTAGAATTTTAAAAAGATATCACGAGAGCACACACGTTATTGCTGTTGCATGCTGTATCAGGATTCTTTAAAGGGAGGTTTTGTTCTGGTAATAGTTTTTGTTTTAATCCACCGTAACCTTAACCTGTTCTCTTCCATATGAAGCTCTTCGGGCTTGCTGCCTGCTGCCTCTATTTCTCTAAAGGGTATTTGAAAAGGGTTTTTATCATCATTGAAATCACCTGTGTGGAAAAGGCAGTAGATACCCAGGGTTTAAACAAATGAATGATGAAATGTTCTCCATAAAGAAGAAATCAATTTGTCTTTATCCCAGTCAGCCTTTATTCCCTAGACATGCAGATTACACGTTGGCAGGAATCATGAGATGTATTCAAATTCTGACCAATACAATCCCCTGTAGAGTGCTATCTGATGTCTAAGCAACCAATGGCTCATTTAAGAACAGAAATCAGAACATAAATCATAATCTGAAGCCTTGTTAAATGATTATGCCAAAGCAACACGATTGCTGTTTTCATTAAGCATGGCACAATTAATACTTCCTGCATGCTACTGTACAAGTCAAGTCAGAAAGAAAGCCATTTGTAAGAAAAAGGTATTGTGGCCACTTGCTGAAAAGAGAAACGGAGAAGCAATGTTGTGTTATAGGTGAGTAATTGGTCCCAGACAACCTCATATCCAAGCAACCTGCCCCGCCGTGGCCCTGAAAGAATTACAGATGATTGCAGCATGGTGTGTTGTTGGAGAGTGGTGGGGAAGAGTCAGGTGAATGCTGAATCCAGGTGAGTCCTGTGTAGTAGAGGAAACCTCAGGGGCTTAATTAAGTGAATACAGTGTGATGCAACACAGTAGTGGTGTGAGCTCCTGTCTTGCAAAGACTAACACATGCAATCTCTCAGCTGTGTAGTGTTTGTGTATTTGAAGACATTCTAAGGGATGGCTACGCGGGGGCCCTGGGTTCGATTCTGCGTCTGGGGTGTTGTCTGTTTGGAGTTTGTATGTTCTCCCTGTGATCACTTGGGTTTTCATGTGGGTGCTCTGGTTTCCTCCTACTGGTCAAAAAACATACTGGGAGGTTAATGGGCTACAGGGAAAACAGGCCCTGGTGTGAGTGTGTTGGTGTTTGTGTCTGTGCGCCCTGAGATGCACTGGTGTCCCATCCAGGGTGTACCCTGCCTTGCGCCCGTTGCTTGCTGGGATAGGCGCCAGCTGCCCTGTGACCCTGAACTGGATGAAGCAGATAGAAAATGAACGAACAGAAGCCGTTCTAATTGTATGATGAGAAACACTCTCACATGCTCCACTGTTCGGGAGCTCTAGAACTCTGCTTAGGAGTCTTGTTAAAGACCTTGCTGGATTAGCATTGAGTTTAGGAACACATTGAAATCAGTTCTGATTTTTCCTTTTTAATGGCTGCTTAAATAATATAGAATATTATATAATAATGTATTTGATTCTAAGAAAATTGATTGAGCTCCATCATTATAAACGTCGGCTGAGTTACAAATAGGCTGTTATTCTGTGTTAAAGAATATTTCCGAAATTTTAACACAAAGCAGAAGTGTTTTAAAAGGGAACTGAAAGGCACAAGATTCAGTAGATCCTGGTCATGCTAAGATTAAATATACCCAATGCAGGATGAGAGATCCCTAACACATGCATGTTAGCTTTTGTATCAAAGATCTTGTTTGGCAGCACAGGGGTTAGCACTTCAACCCTGCAGCGCTGGGGCCACTGGTTTAAAACCTGGGGTGATATCTGTGTGGAGTTTATATGTTCTCACCATTTGGGTTTCCTCCGGGGGATATTCTGCTTTGTGCCCCTTTTTTATTTAGTTGGGTTATGATGTTCACCGTGACCTTGGACTTGGTAATGCGGTTTGGAAAATTGATAGGCTTGCTGTTTGTGATCTGTTTCAGCTGTAATGTAGGAGTTTGACCATAAGAGGGCACTGCTAGACAAAAAGCTTAAAGGCCATGCTGCACAAACCAAGGCTAATGCAATAAATTCATGATGATGTTTTTCACATTTTAAAAGAAACACAACGTGAGTTTTTGTCAAAACATTGTCAGACAACTGCTTGTCCTGGTGGGGATCGTGAAACCAGAATCTGAGCAAACACAGTGCTCAAGCCAGGGCTGAGAATTCATGATAGTTCTCATGCAGGGTAGATAGAATAGCCAATAAAAACTAGCCATAACCTAGACCTTCTTGTAGCTCAGTGTCTACCATTTTGTACTTCAATATTTTTACTGCCTGCATGCAAAATGTTGTTCTTTTAGGATCACCAGTGGAAAACTCTGTTGTATTGACAGTAGCTGTAGTCCAGACCAGTGTTTGAGATATTGGGTCAATGGAGCATTCCTGTCCTCGAGTCCTTGAGTACCTGCCTCTGGTTCCAGGTCCTAGATTAGAGCAAATGTCTAGGGTGATGTGACACTTGCTGGTGGTTTTTGGAGGGCATGGAGAACTTTGTCTTTCAACTCCTGGGACCTGTTTCTTTGCCCATTTCTCTATGTTGTTCAACCTACCTTCCCAAATATTGTTTTTTTTCCAGTTCAGCAATCTCCTGGATCCCTCAACCTATTGATTCAGGTTTCTTTTTTGTGGTAGTTATTACAGATGTAGTCTGGGTATTTGATGCTCCACATGGTACACAAGCCCGCAGATCACTGGGTTAAGCATCAAGCATTAAATTGGAAGCAGTAAATACATAGAATATCAGCACCATGCTCAAACTGCCTGAGCCATCTCACCCTGTGAAGCACAGACATTATATATAGCTAGTGTACAGCTTGATAAAGTTTCCCATGACTCAGTATTTGCAATCAATAAGACAATTTAACCTTACCTGCTTGTAGAGCAACATGCTGGAGCTGTAACTTACCAGAGTAACACTTACACCTTTTTAAATATGATATGTTAAGTAAACCTTTTTTTGATTCATTTTATTTTTGATGTATTTATATATATAAATGGTGCCTATATGACTATTGTTGGTGTAATGTCTTCCCCAGGACACAGCCCTAAACGGTTTGCTTTGGCAGAGTAAGCTTCAAGGCCCAAAATCTCTCTTCAATAATCTGTTCCTTACAGCTCCTGAAAAGGCAAGTAGAAGGAGATGGTTTAATGCATTTTCCCCCATGGTGAAGTTCAAGCTTTAAAGCTTAAACTGCATCTCAATGTCATAGATTGAAATAACTGGTTTTGCAAGATTTCAGTATACTCCTGTGTTTCGAAACAGTTTTAATTATGGTCAAATGTTGCCTTCAGCGGGTCTATGCCTGGCAAAATAATGGTTGATTATGCATAACTTAATGATTTAACGTGTGTTTTGCCAAGCCTCTTTCATAGGCACTGCTCTCCTATTCCTCATCATGTTGACACTGACACAGGGCCTCCTGTGAAATATTCAGGAACACATTCATTTCGAAGTTGCCAAGATGGGTAAGACCGGCTTCAGAAACAACATAAAGCCTCTGACATTTTTTTGTATGGAGCAAAGCCAATCTTCATTACAGATTGCTTAGTGTCTAATTAAGCATAAACAGTGCTGTGCAGGAATGTACACTCCCCTGGCTTGGTGGTTTCACTGACATGCCACAGCTTCCAGGGAGAAAAGACATGCATTATTTACTCCCAATTTACATACAGACAATAGGAGAAAAATGCAGTTGTGGTTGCCGTATTGCAAGCGCTGTAAGTTTATTTTGTTTTATATACAGTACAACCCAATGGCAGTGGCGAAACTGTATTTGGTGGAGATTTCACATACTGCTCGAGCTCAAACACCACTTTCCACACAGCAATATCAATTTGTTTGTTTCACTTGATTAAAAAATGCCATTGAACAGCTGAGTACGTGTC